ATTAGATATGAAGTAATTTGATTAGAGTAATTAATAATCAGATTATTGGATTTGTTGTTACATAAACATTACATGTGGCTCTTGTTTTGGTTACATCAAATGGACTAACTAAATCAGCTTTTTAATTCTTTGATTCAAAATTCATGCAAAACTCAGAACTGTTTTATAAAGCTTTATAAATAACTCCACTTCAATGTAGTTCAGTTTTAATTAGTTAAATCCTTTGTCTCTATCATAACATTATTTAAAACTAACATATTTATTTCAAAAATAAAACATATTAGGGTTTCATAGAATAACTTTCTAGTCTTAAAACAAAACTAAATTTATTTGTTGGGTAAATTTGTAATTTTTCTTCTACAGTAATGTTACCCAAACTATGACCCTTGGTAGACATTAATCTGCACATGATCATATTTGATACATCACTAACAAACAAAAGAAATAGGTCTACTTTTAGTATAATATGAAACATACAAAGTATTTGTATGTTTCATATTATACTAAAAGTATTTATGGCCCTACTGAAATATAACTTCAAACTTTTTTGTTTATTTTAATTCATTTAGGAAACAGATGATCTAACCTACAATTTTCAAATAAAACAATAAAGTGAAATTTTAAACTTTTTAATTATTCAACTGAATTTTTGATTATAAAGATGTAACTACTTTAAACTTATATCATTTTATGTTGATCTCTCTGGTTAACAATTTTTGGAGTGTGCTGTTAATAACCAAGCAAAACAAACAGAAAAAAACTCTTCTTAAACAACTAATATTCATTTGAAATATAGACCTATACAAAAACTATAATGTAGAATAAAATACAGATAATATAATGTTAAATAATTGAACAAACTTGCATGTATGAGATTTTTTTTCATTATATACAGATTCATTTAACTTCAGATAAACTAATATATATAGTGACCTCTTGCTCAGAAACCTCTCAATTAAGTGACTCAGTTATGAGACGTTTTCCACAGGTCCTGGCTGAAGCTGATGAGAAATAATGTCTAAAATCTCTCATTTGAATGACACTCTCAGTTCTACACTCCTACAAATGTTTCAGACAAATTTATTTTTCAATCACAAGAATAGAGTGGGGTTACTTTGTCATGGGTTAAAAAGTGCCCAGGAAGATAAGAAAGCAGAGAGGATTATCATACTGGACATAATATCAGTTTTTAGAAAGGGAATGAATACTGGCTATACGCTTAGCTAAAACAAATGGTAAAGTCATAAGTGACCATTGTCATGTACCGGTATGTCAAGACTATCATTGCATTCCCCTAGAGCTGTTGCCAGATATGTATTGACTAATAACTTTTGTATGAATTTTGTGTCAGACCACAATTACATGCATATTTTTCAAATTTTGTCAAATTGACCTTTCCTGACATGTTTTCTACCTATATCAAAATAATCTTCGGATGGCCAACAAAATTTCCAAAATCCCCTTACTTCCAGTTTATACCCTATGGAGATTTTAACACAGGAAAATACGGTACTATAGTTCAGCCCCACAGGCCCACCTTTGCAGTAAAACTTGGATATGCACATTAATTTCTGGGTGAGATAGGTAGTAACATCGCCAGATTTCACTTTGTATTTTGAATTTAAAAGAAATAATGCTTTTAACTGTGATAATCAATACTGAAAGGGTTAGTTATATATTTTTAACATTTTTCATTCAAGTTGGTTAATCTCTCCTTTGTACAACTCTCTCACTTATAAAACTTTATCGTGTTTCCTTTAGAGTCGTATAACTGAGAGATCACTGTATATATTATCTTAATATATTATCTTATATTAAATGTATACATAAAAATATTTTTATTTTGTTTACAAAATTATCTTATCCATATTTAAAGATATAATATTAAAGTAATGAAACAACAAAAGATGGAATAATCATAAATTCATATTTGCAGATGTAACATCATCTTAATTTCTAAATGGTCAATAGAATTCACTTCTTTCAGTTTATAATGAAGCAATGAAAATAAATAAAATGAAAATCTTCATTTTGTTTTATTCTAATATTCTGCAAGATTCATTTTCAACACAAATTTCTGCAAAAAATTTAAATTAATAAACCAAATTTCTAAAATTCCATAATAAATTTGCTTATAGATGGTTACCTAGAGATAAAAGACTACTTGGTGTATGTATAATTTTTATGAAATTTGTTAGTCTTATCTATACATATATTTAAATGTTAATTTTTGAACAATTTTAACTGCATTTAGAAATATTTTGTATTTAAATTTAAAAAGTTCTAAAAAATGTCATCATTATGAAGTATAAAAAGTTCATAAACTATCTAATCAATTTAATTTTATGTTGATTTAAAAAATAAATTGCAATTATAGCAAAAGCCTCATCTAAGCATCAATCGATTAAATTGCATTTCGGGTAAATTAGCATCTCTAACTTAGGACATTTTAAAATTTATTTTGCAGTTTAATAATTTAATATATAATTATCAGCAAAATGAATTTATTTTGTGTTTTACTTTATAAAATTCCAGATTCTGGTTTTATTTAAGTAACTTCTATTTTCATTCAATAAATCTTTGTTTTTGTTATAAAAAATGTATTTTTCCTTATTATACATCTCTTACCTTTGCAATAAAATATATATTCTTTCCTTATAAGTTCTTAGACATTTGTTAATTTTTTTCTTTGTAAATGAATATGAGTTAACGGAAATTTTTATTATGAATAAATAATAGTTATCACCTCAATAAAAGTTTTAATATTGGCCAATGCAGAACATACAAGATGGCACATGTGAAGTTTTTGTTATACATAAATGCAATTTTCATAACATAATAAGTATATTATAGTTTTATAATACAATTTTCAACAAAATACTCTTTTCATCAGAATATGAAAAACATGTTAACACATTATACAATTAAAATTTATATTGTCCATTTACACAAAGTAGCTCTCTTGAAATTTAAAAAATTGTTCCTAGAAACTAGTTTTCATTCTTTTAATTTCTGAACACACTAAACTGCATTCAATATCAAAAACTACATTGGATTCAATGAGTAATATATAATTCATATTGTTTAAATTTTATTTTCAAATAACTTGACACAGAAAAAAATTATTATTAAATATTTTTTAAAACAATCTCTGGTGTAAGTTGCTCAAATTACTTTTATTTTTAACACAGGTTTAAAACTCTTGCAAAACAAATATAAAAAGAAAATATTTTTATACCGTTGTATGAGAGTTTGTGTCATTGACTTTACAATATTTTAAAATTTCTTACTAAAAAAATACCTATGATACATATTAAATATGGATAGATAAATCAATTATATCAAAAAATCTGAAAAAAGTAAAATGATCAATCAAAGGTTCACTGAAACATCCAGATATACTGTTTATTATTATTTAAGTGAAGATAATTTATTTTAGGCAAATTGCACAATATGAATAATTTATTACAATATTCATTAAGAAAGATAAAATTTCAACATTTAAATAATTAAAAAATTGTATAACATTTTGCTATTGATTAGTTCTATAAGCTTGGATAAAGGATTAACAAGCTTTAGATAATGCTACAAATAAGATCTTAATTTATAGAATCTTAAATCTGCTATTTTCTAACTAAATATTTATTCAATGCACGTAAATATACCAGAAATATCTAGCACAAATTATACTTACTAAAACTACAGTCAAATTATTTAACAAAATTACTTAATTGTCATCAGTACTCAAATTTGTTGTTTGAACTTATAAATTCAATTGGCTATTTTAAAATTTAAATTATATGCATCCTATAATCAATATTTAGGTATAAAATATCAACAAAGAAGTGATAATACAATGCAAATAAGTTTAGATAATTAATTTCTTCCATTATTTCAAGAATATAACTATTAGAAAAATACCATTAGTATTGATCCGAATTAAAAACCTTGTGAATAAAATCAATTTATAATAGCACGTTTTTAAATTTTTTGACATATCAAAGATGTGACAGACAAAATGTAACACTCCACATTACTGGAAATTATTATTATATATAATATATTTTATATATTTCTTGCAATAGTTACATTGTTTAGAATTTTTATAATGAATAAAATATACTTAATACTTTTAAAAGAGATTCATTATTCAAATGTTCAACAAAACCTAAGTAAAAAAAAAGTATTTGCTTTAATGGAGTTAATTCTACTTGCTTCATTAAAGCAAATAGTTTTTGCTTTTAAGTTCAAAAAATTTTTATATAATAAGTTACCTTGTTCAATTTTATTGGTTTATGAATGGTTAACTGAAATAGTTGTAAATTTGTTGTTATACAAATGAATCTTTTAGACTAATAAAAATAAAAAAAAAAGCCTAACTCAAAAACAAATTATATACTTTATTTAAATCAATATTGCCAATGAAAAGATTGACAATGATTGGGCAATGAATAGAAATTAACAAAAATATTGCTCAAGTTATAACATTATTGGTAAATAATTCATATATTTTGAGCTATTTCGGTTAAACTTTCATAAATCCGAATAAGCGAAGGTTTTACTAATCAATACTACTTGAATAATGAAAACATTGTTTACTTATTCAGATTTATGATAATATAACTGAAAACAGTTCATTATAATAAATAAATAATGAAATATTTGGTTCACAGAAAAAAAAAAGGTGGCCTAAAATCTCAAGGACACATGACCCTTATTACATTAATTATATAAGAATGTAATTAATGAATATTGGCAAGAATATTACTTGAGATTTAACCCTATTGGGCAATTAATATGCAACTTTTTAGTAGTCAAAGTTGAAATCACAAACATGAAAACAATATACATAAAAATTGTATGTGTAAGTAGTCAATTTTAATAATAAACACGTCTAATAACAAATATATATTGTTTATATTGTAAATATATAATAAATTATTGTATTTTTTGTAAAAAATTGAAACTCTTTTAAGCCTAATTACTACAAAGGGTCTCACCTGCTGCTCTAGACCTTTTCCATTTTGGGTGGATTCATTAATCATATTACACAATCAATGAGATGTTTTAGCTTTCACTTAATATCGACACCTACCAACAAACAATGTAAAAACTCTCTTAAAACTAACAAAAAATTAAAGTTCTGTCTCCGATATCGAAACCCACAATCAATGGTGGTTATGACGTCTTACACCGGAAACCAGATGCAATCATCCAAATTTAGTTTCGGACGTTAAGAACGGCAAAAATAATCCTGTTAAGTTCGGGGAATAAAAATGATTAAATATAAATATTAATTATTATATATATAGAAAAGTTATTAATATTTAAATAATAATATTTACGATTTTTATTTCGGATCGATGGTTTCGGAAGCGACAGAAATTTCAAAAAATGAAAAAAAAGGGAAGAAGGGAAAAAAAAGCAGACGGCGCATATTAAGGGATCGTTTGGTTAAAGATTGTAAGAATTACGTCACCGTGATGTCATCTCTTCGGTTTTACAACGAACAATATCAAAAAATGACGTATAATTACGGTAAAAGTATGCAATACTTCAACCGAATGAAAAAAAAAAAATTAGGATGAAATCGTTTTGTCGTAATAGTATAGATTATTATGTGAATTTGACTTCATTTTACACTTCTCCATCGCAAAAAAATGTAGGTATGACGTCAAATTGACATATATATTGTCATAATAGTGTACACTATTACGTCACTCCTACATTTGTAATAGTGTACACTATTATGACAATTTACGTCAATTTGACGTCATACCTACATTTTTTTGCGATGGAGAAGTATAAAATGAAGTCAAATTGACGTAAAACTGTGCATTATTTTGACAAAACGAATACAATTAAAGTTGTTTTGAGAATTGTGTTAATAGTTTGCAAGTCCTCTTTCGATAATTTATCACCGGAAAAATTTAAAGCAATATCACTTTCTGATAGATTAAAGTATCAAGTATCACTTGTAGAGCTCAAAAGTCCGAAGATAAAAATAAAATTAATTTAATTATTGCTTTTTCTTTGTATATATATGTGTGTGTGTATTATACATTTATTTAGGATAATTAAAAATCAAATATAAATTGTATAAACAAAAAACACTTTAAAAAATAAAGGGAAACAGAAAAATCTTACTTTCATCATCTATTAAGTATTAAACGAAAGAGATTTCAATAATGAAACTAAATAAATAAATCAAAATAAGATTNTTACGTCACTCCTACATTTGTAATAGTGTACACTATTATGACAATTTACGTCAATTTGACGTCATACCTACATTTTTTTGCGATGGAGAAGTATAAAATGAAGTCAAATTGACGTAAAACTGTGCATTATTTTGACAAAACGAATACAATTAAAGTTGTTTTGAGAATTGTGTTAATAGTTTGCAAGTCCTCTTTCGATAATTTATCACCGGAAAAATTTAAAGCAATATCACTTTCTGATAGATTAAAGTATCAAGTATCACTTGTAGAGCTCAAAAGTCCGAAGATAAAAATAAAATTAATTTAATTATTGCTTTTTCTTTGTATATATATGTGTGTGTGTATTATACATTTATTTAGGATAATTAAAAATCAAATATAAATTGTATAAACAAAAAACACTTTAAAAAATAAAGGGAAACAGAAAAATCTTACTTTCATCATCTATTAAGTATTAAACGAAAGAGATTTCAATAATGAAACTAAATAAATAAATCAAAATAAGATTTAAATTTGTTACAAAACACATTTCTAATCATTAAAAATAGGCATTCATACTTAAACGAAACTGAAAATAAAACTTTAGTTTTTTGTGTGTTGTTTCAATTTGATAAGAAATTATTTATGAGGATTTTAAATTATGAGGATTAAACTTCAGAGGCTACTTTTAAATAAGTTTAAACAATGTTCATATCATTGAATACATAATCATAGAAAGTCCTACATAAAGACAAAAAAAGACGAGGCCGAAGCGCTTTCAGGGGCATGGCAAATTTTGCAGTATATTTTAGTATTTATATCATCAAATTAGGAAAAATTGAAAATATAATTGTACCGTTATCTGTTGCATCTGCCAAACGATCGTATTTACTTGGCGGGGAGTCACTGCCGTGACTGCTGATAGTAAAGAATTTTTATACTTGGTTCGCCTTTTCGCAACTTTTAAACGTTTTAAATCGGAACTAAACGTTCAAGAAATAATATTAAATGTATTAAAAAAAAGTTTCATCGATAGGATTTTGAAAGATCTACTTTTGATGGAATACGCGGTATATGTGAAGTTTAAAACGCTTAGTGTAAAGAAATATTACAACTAGTATTCTCGACTTGAAAAAATTTTGAACTCGAATTCTCCTTCGCTTTGTTGGAATCTGATCTATCGATTTGTTGGTTTACGGCAACAACACATTGGACGATCTGCCGGGGTGATGTCTCCCGAAACGAATTTCTACGGGAAACTGGCCCTATTTAGGTGCTACAAACGTAAAAAGAACCTGGAAAACTATACGTGGCCGCGAGGCGCAAACCCATGACCAACTTTTAACGTACAGTAGTTTTATCCATTTGGTCAATGATGATCTGGGAAACGTACCTGCGCTCTCTAAGATCTTCGTTTATAATTTTCAAGATTATTTACACAGAGATGAGTGTTAAAATAAGTGCAACATCGTGTCGTCCTTGGTGCTCTGTCTTTTTATCCTCCTGTTATTCTCTTACAATCTATAACCGAAATATCCATTTTAATTTGAAACAGTGTTCTATTCAACTCCGTTTAAACGAGTTCTTTTTAGCACGCTCCACTATAGTAGTGAAGTGCTTATGTTAAGACTTTTATGTGTCTGTCAGATATGCAAGAGTTATATTACGTTCAACCCATTTATTACACATAATTCCAAGAATTTATAAAATTTATTTTAAACAAAATTAATATTTGATTCGCTTTTGTGGAGCGTGCTATCAGATCGGCTAGACCAAGCTTGTTTTATATTAATTTCATCCGGTTTCATATTACATTAATACGTAAAACGTTCAACTCCGATGTCAATTGGAGGAATCTTTTCTAAAAGAAAATTATTCGAAATATTAAGATTTCTATTTATTTCACCCTGATCGATGCAAAACGGATGAAGGTATATCTGCAATTCAGTTTCATGCACTTTTCGGAAGTCGAAGAAGCATATCATTTAAATAAAATTAAATAAATATGTCTTTCTACGAAATTCGAACATTGTTGACGCCTTTGAACGTGTGTTCGAAATGTGTCACTGATAACAATTCACAGTTTTTGTCTCTGTTGTTGACATAAATGTGTTTTTCTGTGCTCTTCTATTGTATTACTTTTTTGCTGTTTGCAGAATTTCCGAAAGGTGATTATAGATTTTTAGGTAAGTCTTGGCCTATATTCGACCTAGTTATAAGAATTTATTTAATACTCCGTGGAGAATGAGTAAGGATCGGCTGTAGAAGACATTTCGGTCGATCGTTTGATCATCAGTCGTTTTCGCTTTTGAGTCGGATCTTTTAATTGTGAACATTTCCTCTCTCCTCGTTTACGAAATTTAATTCTTTGCTTTCACACGACTAATTGTAAATTTTTTTTACAGAATGAAGAATGAAGATCTTCGAGTGGATCCACAAGATGTTCCGTTGTAAGAAGGCGATGGCACAGGAGGGAGAGAATTTCCGGGACGAATCTTCGACTCGTACCGGAGCTGAAGAGACGTCCGAGAACGTTCGATTGGACTCTGCCGAAACGACTCGCCCAGTATCGGAAGAGACCATCGAGCAGGAAACAACTGGGGGACGACATTCCCCAAGTGTTTATGGTGCAGGACTCTCTTCGAGACGGCCCATTTCACTTCACGAAGGTTGTCGTGAATGTTGTTGTGGTTCAGCCGGTCAGAAATGTTCTGAACAGAACATTTCTGACCGGCTGAACCACGACATTTGGTGAGGTAATTTGTCCGAGTTTTCTTCATGGAATTCGTTGTCATTCTCTGCTGTCGCGAGTTTTCCTTTTTTGTACGTAACAAGGATACCGTGGTCTTCCAAAAGTTGGAACGGGGAAGAATCGGAAGAGAGAGTTGCCGATGTTGGGAGACTATGATGATGCGGGTGTCTGCGATTTCGTTGCTGCGGGCGATTGCGGTTTCCTTCCGAGTAATTTAAACCCTTCTATTACTCAGCAACTTAAAGAGAACAGGCCAAATTTAACAGAATTCAATTGAAATGAAAAATGTAAATTGCTATGTATAATTATACTTCTAATTTACACAAGTTTAAATTTTAATTATGAAGTTATTTTCATCTAAAACAATATATAAAATTAATTAATACTGAAATTATTTGATTTTATTTTTGGAAATTTTGATAAGATTTAGATTTTAAAATTGTTATTGTTTTAGCAATGTTATTTATTAAATTAAAACAAAAAACATTCAATATTCCAGTTTCAATGCATTTATGAATACAAGCCTATGTCAGTAGGAAGGGCTATAAGGAACTTGTGGAAGTTAACACATGGATCACAGTAATAAAATTTGTAGAAAAAATAAAACATTAACATTATTTATGTAAAGATAGCATAAAAACGTTTTAAAAATTAAAAAAGAAAGAAAGAAAGAAACAGATGAAAGAGATCAGATCTATGTCAACTTTCACATGTCTAATTCCATCCCTTTTATTGTCATAGACTCTTCGACTCAGGCTGACTCACGTCTACTCTTTCGCTGCACGGACTTTTAAGTTCTAAATTTCTGCACACGGCCAATTTTTCCTTTTTTCCATGCTTGTTATGGCTTAGGCCAGGTTCATAATAGAGACTGCGAGTCAGTGAGGAAAGTACATCATCTAACTTATGAAAATTTCTAAGATTTGAATTAGAACTCAAATTCTGGGATCACAGAGATGTCGCATTTTCTGCTTCGCAGGTCCAGCCTCAGCGAATAAGTATTTTTTCTTTTGCTTTTCCTTTCATTTTCGACCTTTCAACCCTGTAAGCACTAAGAGGGCCTTTTAAACCTTACCCACAATAGGTTTGGCCAAGACTGCAATGGGAGCGGGCGGACGGGCGTATCGGGACAGACCACTACTAAAAAGTTCTGGAGTTGCCTATCCGGATTCGATTTTGGGTGTCCTCTTAATGTCTCAGCCATCTGGCCATCGACAAATAATAAGTATTAAAAATTATCAAACTATGTATAAAATTTGGAATATTCTCAAAATAATTCTATAAACTAGTTTACATTATTATTAATTTTAAATACACCTAGTATAACAATACAGGCAGGGAATTTTTAAGTATTTGTTTAGGCCCTGATCTAATTTATTTACATGCATTATACAGATACAGAAAGAAAATATTAGTAATAAGTAGTGAAATGAATCCGCCTAAAAATGCAAGATTGTAGGAAATTTGAATTTTAATATGCTATTCGATACGTTCTTCCTACTGTATTATTGAATTGATACTGTAATAGATAAAAATTCTTATGTGTGTGTTTTGATTATGAATACAATATAAAAATAATACGAAACATAAACAATTACTTCCAATCTACGTCATATGCTTATGATTATTGATTGATTAACATATTGCAGTAACGTGCTATCAGTGCGATCGAATGGTAAAAGTAGTAAAGACGTCAGCCTGCAACTGTGGGAATCGAGGTTCGAATTCAAGTAACCAATGTTGGTATTCGTTCCTCATTATCGACCTATAGTGAATATGAAAAACCCATGAATGTGATAAAAGACTCTCTTAGTACCTGACGAATATATGAATATGAATATAAAATTACCAGCCTTAATTATTATTCGGAATGAGATTCTCGTGAATAAACAATGTTCTAATCTTTAGTATTCGTGAGTATCACAAAGGTCCGGATAGGATTTGAACCTTGCATGTCATTATACCCGTGCAACCTAAAAATTTAAATATTCGAACAATTAGAAGTCCGGGGTTCTTAGTATCTACTTACCTACGTAAAAACAGGATGCGTGTCTGAATGTCATGTGATACGAATTAGTTCACTGAATGACCTCAGTGAACGAATTCGTACTACACGACAGCCAGTCAGCTGATTGATTTTTGACCGTATTTTTCCTTTAAATCCGAACATTTTAACTGCGTGCATGGCCAAACCCATAAAGAGCTTGCAAAAGAGATCCTTCAGTATTTTTAGAGTGAAAAAAAATGTTTAAAAAATGACAACGGTGAGTTTTGATTACTACAACCAAATCATAAAAAAGAGGCCTAAGAAAATTTTTGATAAGAAATAATATAAATATTTAATCACGGCCAGATGACCGATATGGTAAGGCGTTAGCCCAGGGGTGGCCAACAGTTTTTGCCCCCGGGCCGAATTAGAAAGAAACCTTTTTCCACGGACCGAACCAGAGGATACTCTAGGAAGATTTTGAGGTGGTGCCATCTCATTGTGGTGTCACCCCGTAGAGACTGAATTGTAGATAGAAATTACAGATACATTTTTCACATTATCATGCTTTATCAACACTCTACGCTGTACTTACGAGATTTGTAATGGAGGGTTAACTCTAAACGCACAGTGAGTTGTTGACCCCTTTTTTTTTTCATCGAGCTATTCGGACCTCAATACCTAATATTGAACATAAATTCACATAAATTCATTAAACGGGCTGGATCTGACCCGCGGGCCGTATGTTCGCCATGCCTGCGTTAGCCTATCGTTCCGGGGACCCGGAATCGAAAATTTTCAGAAATATTTCTGCGGTAGTTCGTCCCGAATATGCTCGGTTTGTCGCTTACTATCCGGTCGCTCCATTGTGCGCCTAACCGAACCTACTATGGACCAGAAAAAAATGCCCTCTGAGTGCTCACGCGGAAAAAGTCCAAAAACAAAAGCGCTCAATTTTACAAGTTTTATTTTTGTATTAAAAAAAATTAAAAATATATACATTTACAATTTTGCTTTTCGTTTATATGAATATATATATATATATTTAAAAAACATATATATATTAATATTTTCTTATTCTTTCCGCCTAAGAGGGCCTCTTAAAGCAGGCCCATTATGGGTTCAGCCAGGCCCACAATGGGGCGACCGGGTGGTGGGGGACGGGGCAGACATATCCGAACGGACCACCCCAGAAAAATTCCTGGGGATTCTTTGACCCGTCCGGATTCGATATATATTAATATCTGTCGGACAAAACTCTTATATTAAAAAAGAGGACAGTCCGGCAAAAAGAAAATGTATGGTGTTTTTTAACACTTTCCAGCCTGTGGCCACTATGAGGGCCTTTTTTAACAAGATCAATATGGGTTCGGCCAAACCTATAATGGGGCAGGCGGGCGGTGAGGGGCGAGGTCCGACATATCCGAACGGACCACCCCCGAAAAATTCCTAGGGATTTTTTAATCCGTCCAAATTTGATCTCGGATCTTCCAGAGCTGTAGGCTGCGATCTTGACCGCTCGGCCATCCGGCCATCAAATATACAGTGTTTGTCCAATAAGTATCGGAACTGATTTTTTCCTGCCAATGGGAAGGGATTGAGGACGGTTTCTACGGACGGGATCGGTGGTGGGGAATGTCACGTAAACTACGAGACCCAGCTCAACTCTCTATGAGCGTCGAGAGTCAAGATGCAGCGAACCATCGAGCATCTTTTTGCCATCAAATTTTGCGTTAAATTAATTGCGTTAAATATCAAGACTTTGGATATGATCCGTGAGACTTACAAGGACGAAGCCATGTCCAGAACGTGTTTTTGAGTGGCATAAAAAATTTAAAGACGTCGAAGACGAACAACGCGCTGAATGTCCGACATTAATCCCAACCGATGAAAATGTGGCCTAAGTGCGAGAACTTTTGATAATGAGCTCCGCCGCATCCGAAAGGAGATCGCCGATATCTGGTAGCGCCATCACAACAATGCTCCCAGTTACACGTCACTAATTGTGAGGGAGGCACTGGCCAAGCACAACGTGTCAACTCTGCTCCAACCACCCTACAGTCCAGACATGTTCCCTCGACTTCTTTATGTTCCTTCGTATCAAAGGACGTTGAAAGGACATCGTTTCGGGACGATTTAGGCAGTCCAGGCGGCTTCGACGGAGTGTACGAATATCATTGTGGTTGCCGCCTTCCAGGAGACGTACGAAGACTGGAAAAAGCGTTGGAAGCGGTGTGTTAATGCAGGAGTGTAATACTTTAAAGATTATTAGCTCACTGTACATATATCTTCAATAAATTTCTTTTCGTGACTTCAGTCCCGATACTTATTGGACAAACCCTGTATGATTACTCTAGATAAGTTTTTTTTTTCAATGAAGGTAAATAGTAAAATGTTATATATTTTCCATACTTATTTTATATTAGTAAAATATTTATCAACATTTTATTTATAAAATAAAACAAAATTTATTTATATAAATAAAAAAATTTACGAAAAAATTTCATTTTCAATTTATTGAAATAAACAATTCACCAGGTGGTGCATCTGTGGGGTTTAAATAGAGTACACGTGACGAGTCTTAAATATTCAGAGAAGGAAAGAAGAAGAAGTCTTAAATATATATAAACTTTTCTGAAAAAGAAATCTTTTTCATAGTAAATAACATAATTTATTTTAATGCTAATCTTTTCACAAAGATTTAATATATTAAATTTTTTTTAGAAACACAAAAATGGCACAAGGTGGGTTAAAGGTTAAAACGAAGTTACCAGATAGTATCAAGAAGAAGAATAACAACAGAAAAATGAAAACAAGTAAGATTACAGATACGTGTTGTTGATAAATTCAATAGGGCTTAATTCAACCTCTGAATGAGACGTTTCGAACCTTATCAGAGCTGTAGAGCATACCTATAGGAGCAAAAAAGTCAAAGAAACCATACCTCTACAAGGGACTTTTTGCAAGATACGGCCACTCCAAAATCGGGTTGCTCGAGATCACGAGTTGTGTTGCTTCGCTAAGAATAATCGCGTTTAAGTATATAGCCAACGTTACTATGCTGGCTTCGAGTAGCCTACTTGACTGTTCGTGGAGTACTTGATGTTGTATAGTTTTAGAGGGTGAGGGCTTGCCCCTACCTGGGTGCTAAGATGCGAGCACCAAGCTCACACCTAAATGTCAAGCATGGAGGATAGCGGGTAGACTGATACGTGTTAAAAACTGATCTTTGGAGACAATTATCATGCGAAGGGTTGCATGTACAGTACAGGTATGGTTCCTTTGACTTTTCTGCTCGTACAAGGGATCTTACAATTAGATTCAAGCTTCAAATGAGAGGGGTTGAAAAACCCCTCATTTGAAGCTTAAATCTATATGTGAAGTTAGAAATTTATTAAACAATGAATGTTTGACACACTGATCTGAAGATAAAACTTTATAGCATTTGGCTGGCAGTGCCATAAGTAAAACAAAAAACAAAAACTGCACAGGTAAACTGGAACCAGAGCTGGCCCTACCATAGGGAGAACGGAGCAGCCGCTCCAGGCACTAAGTCCTAGGGGGCGCCTCAGTGGTAAAGAAAATTAAAGGGTATAAATTAGGGGCAACCAAGGGGGGCGCCATAATAGGATCTCGCTCCATCCTAAAACTTGCCTCGGGCCAGCACTGACTGGAACTATAATTCAAAGGAATAACACCCAAACACAATTTCCAGCAAAAAAGTAAAAAACTTTTACTGGTCCTGATGACTGATAAACTGTGGCTAAAAATGTTTGACGAGTCTAATTTGTTTACTTATTTGCTGGAACAATCCTATCTTCATGGCATTTTTACAAACAAAGAACGTAGAATGAACTTTAAATAAACTTGAAATTATTATATTTTTGTATGTTTAGACTATTCTTGGATAAACAAAAACATAAGCATTATTTCTACATACGAGGCATTGATGCTGTTACATGTCTAGGGAGAGTTATGTCATATCTCAAGTGGGATCAGATTTAATGAAAGTTTTAATCATTATTGGCATTTACAATTTAAAAAAAATTTATCTCCATCCTCAAAATTAAGCCATTTGTCATCTTAAAATAATTAATAATATAAAACTTATTTTGTAATAGTCTTGTGACAGGTGACACTACACGCTTTTAATTTTGTACTGTGTCTTTTTGTTTTTTTAAATAGAAAAATTTATTATAATTCAACAAAATTACTCCTCTTAAACTTTGTTTATTATTTATGTAAATGTAGTAGAATTGAAAATTATCAAACTGCCTTCCTGGTCTTCTTAATCTCCTCTTTGATGCTGGGAAAGTTGAGAACAAGCGTTGCCAGCTTTTTTTTAATATTTTAGATATGATTGGATTCCTGTTTGTTGGTAGACTTTTTATTAATTAAATGATATCCAGCAGTTGGTCTGCCATTATAGGCAGTTTAAAGTGTGTTTTTGAATGATGTAAATGATTATAATTTTTATAATGTTTTTATAACAACTTATATTGAAATAATATAATCTTAAAATTGAAACAATTACAGTCGACCCCCCCCTATAACACGGTAGTACGTTCCGGTTTTTATGAATCCATTTTCTACGAGTCCAGCCAATTACAGCCCGGCACGTATGCAGTTTACAGACTACGGCTGTTTGAAAGATTTCTTCCAAAAATTAATCGATTCTAGACTAATTTGACTCAACATTTCCAAAATACGTATAATTTTTTGGGAATAATCCATATAAACTATGCTATAAACAAAAAATTGTAGGATTACTTACCGAGCATGAACCGTTTGACTACGCCATTGCTTAAGCTTGTTTTTGTCATGGAGCTTGTCATCGAATGGTGCTCGCATGCTTCCTGATAAATTATTTTTTTTTGCGAAAAATTCGCTGAACTTTACAGACATCATTAATATAAATATAATTTTTATGGATGTTAAATAATAAATGGTTTTTAGTAGGTCCACTGCTCATTTAAACTCGACGGTTTGTACAATATCCACTATTGGTCTAGATTTAACCAATCCTGTTGCGACACGAGTCGGCGATGACGTTTTACTGAATTATAGGAGTTCTTTTAGCATGTTTGTATGAATACTGTCGGAATTTTTTCGCCCTGATATAGTAATCCGAACTATAGGAACTCGTGTTATAGGGGGGTCGACTGTATATTAGTTTGAGCTTTTAGTGTTATAGATTCATATTGTGTGAGCTAAACTGTAGATAGACAGTGAAATTTCTCTATAATGGACACTTGTAGGAACAAAAATTGTCTGTTATAAAGAAATATCTACCAAAGAGAGGTTTTGTGATTGTGGAAATTACTTTTAAATAGAACATCCTTTAAATGTAGCTTCTACCACTTTTATTTACAAACATACATGTACCATACAAAAAATAGTTATATGACATAAGTTGTATATGTGATACACTTTGAGATATGTTTTATTTTTACTTATAATACATAATTAATTCCAAGTTTGGCACTCTTGCATTACAATTGTATCTTTTTTGTGCATTTTTTGCTTTATTTATGATGTGTTTACTTATCATTTTATATATTATCATTTCAATAATATGTATTATTCATCAATTTTTAACAACTTTTTGCAATTATCTTTTGCCAACAACTTTTGGGTGCTTCATATTTTGTATCCTTTCATTCAAAATTACCTGAACAGAACTTTTTAAATCACATTTGATATGTTGAAAGTTTAGGAACATCTCCATATATTTTACAATTTGTTTTAATTATTTGGACACTGTTAATTCTTTTCGAAAGTCATAAAGCATAATATGTCGAATATACTTTTTATCTCAAGATATTTTAACTTGATTTTATTCACTCGAAATGTGAAGTAAAAAGTTTAAAATACGCTTTTAAGTAATAACAACTGTTAAAATTATACAAAAACTTTCTGTTCAATCCTTTACTTATCATCAACCATCGCATTTAAGAAGTGTGTGGAAGCAATACAGCAATGTTTTCCAAAGTGGTTTCTATGGACTCCTGGGATCCTTGGAACTGCTTGATGGGGTCCATGGCAAATTAAAATTAATTTGGGAGTGCATGGACAATGTCATGGGGTCCACAAAAGATTTAATAAAAAGTAAAATGATTGTGATCCATTTTCATTATTATGAAAATTAAAAATAAATAGTAATAAATAAATTGGTAGTCATTTTTACATCCTGAGTAATATATGTATATAGATACATATGTAAAATATAAGTAGTGACAAACATTGCATTTGTCATATCTGTGGACAAGCTTTTCCATTCCTTCCTCATAGAATGTTGTCACCAATGACTTGAAATGGGCCCTAATGTTGTTTTGATGATCATCATTAGTATCAAACCTCTGCCCTCCTAGCCACTTTTCCTGTTCAGGAAAGAAGTGGAAGTCGTTCAGCACTAAATCAGGGCTATACGCTGGGTGTTTAAAGGTGGTGAAGACTTCCACCCAGTTTAAAATTTTTTAATGTGTGAAGACTTCCACCATTTTCCTGAACTGAAAATGTGGCTAGCAGGGCAGAGGTTTGAGACTAATGACGATCTTCAAAATAACGTTATTAAGGTAATCTCAATTCACTGGCAGCACATTCTACGATGAGGGGATGAAAAAGATCGTCCACAGATATAACGAATTCCTCAATCTTCATGTTGATTATGTCAAAAAGTAACCATGTTTGTACCTAACTTTTGGTAATAAATTCATTTTGTTATTTACACTTGTCTTTGTTTTATGGAACATCAGAGCTTGAAAAAACTCCCCTCATATAATTACAGTCTTGGAAAAAGTTTGAGATCTCCTGGGTTTTCAAACTTCTCATTAAAATTAACTGATTTGCTGTAAATATTGTTTAGATATTGAAATAACCGTAAACCAAATATGAAGTAAAAATTCATTTTTATATTATTTTTCATTGGCATAAACCACTCTTACTAAATCTATCTAAGATTTTCTATTGTGTTTAAATCCAGGCTACAAACTTGCCATGACAAGACATTGATATTGTCAGACAACCATGTCATTGTTGAGGTATCATTATGAATAGGAGCATTATCCTGTTGGAAAATAAAACGTTCATCCATTGCTTTATCTCTTAATGGTAGAAGATAATTTCCCAACATATCTTGATAATTAACTGCCTTTGAATAGGGTGAAATAGAATGCAATAGGTGATTTTAACTGATGAGTGAAAATTGCCCACACCATCACAAATTCTCCACCTCATACATGATGTAATTAAAGATGAGGTTGGTGAGTTAGATCATGCCAATAGTATCACGCACCACCAGGGACATCCAGGATGAATTTCTTCTCGCTACTAAAAGTTGTCTGAATGGCTAACAATGCATTACAAAGTCCATCCATCTCTCCATACGGGAGGTTGTCAATTTTGGCTGTGCCTACATTTTAATGTATGCAAGATATGAAAACTTTTGCAGAACATATCTTGTTGTTGGTGTTACAGGTAGATGTAGTGAAGCTGTAATCTGACTAGATGACTAACCAAAGGATGTAGCTGTTCTCATTATTACCATGTCATCTCTGGCAGAAAGTTTTTTTTGGGCCAATTACATTTAGCTTACTATAATTCTCAGGGTTCTTTAAATAATTGTGAACTGTCATATGATCTTCCTAGTAGGCCTGCAGTGACATGATCAGATTTCCTACAGTCTCTGAATGCACTTCCTTTTTTCATCTGTTAATGTTTTACTAGATCCCATTTTTACTGAAGGTTTAAAACACACAACATGGGTTATGCAAATTACACTACAATATCTATTGTAATTTAGAATGTTGTAAGATATGAATTTTTGATCCTGGTTTCAAACTTTTTCCAGCAAAATTTGTTGTATTTGAATTTCTTAAATATGAAAGTAAGTTTTTACTTAATATTTGGTTTATGGTTATTTTATTACCTAAACAACATATTTACAGCAGATCAGTTAATTCTAATGGGAAGTTTGAAAACCCAGGTGGTCTCAAACTTTTGTCCAGAACTATGTATCTGATGCTAATTTTGTACTGTCTGGTTTTTTTACTTATGTAAAATGCTCGAGTTTGTTTATTTAGTTCAAGACCTTTCTGTATGATTGTTGGTAGCTTTGAACATTGCAGCAGGTATCACTTTGGCTGTGAAGCCATTGCTATTGTCATTATCGTCATTATTTCTTTTTATTGAATGTCAGAAAGTGACTGAAGTATTGATGTATCTTGGCTTTTGTACTCATTGGAATATCACAATATATGTTGACATAATGGTTTACAGTAATAGTAATCTCTGCTTCATTCATGTCTCCATAATATTTGAAATTTATGTCACAAAGTGTTCTCATTACTGGAAGGAAATTCAGGTTTAAAGAAACAACTTAAACTATTATTGGCAGTTTTAACTATTGATTGTTTAATGTTTTAATATTTAGATAATTGATAGTAATAATTTTAAAATCAAGTACTTAATACAATTTTTTTTAAAATATATTTTAAATACAGATCAGAAAAAAGTTTTCAAAAAGACAAAGGTAACTTCAGAGAAAAAGAGAATACAAAAGGTATGTATTATATTTTGATGTGGTTTAATGTGTAAGGTGTTGAAATTAATCAAACAATGAAAAAAAAAAACCTTTAAAATGCAGCTTTTTATTAACTTATTGAACATTTTTGGCCATTTGAATGACCTTCCTCCGGAATAAAAATCGAATGATTTCGATTTCTATAAAACAAAATTTATGAAACGATTTTGAATGTTTGAATTTTTGTAGATGTCTAGTGTGCAAGCCCATAAATAAAAATACAATATGTACAGGTTATTTGTACAAATATAGATATAAACAATATATAAAATGTAATATAAGAATAAATAACTAAATAAAAATAAAATATTGTTGTTACTGTCTTAGTTATTTATTTATTTTATTTTTATTTTGTTATTTATTCTTATATTATGTTTATATATAGTTTGTATATAATTTCAGAAAAATAGAGAAAAATAATAATATTTTTCACCTTATAAGATGCACATTTTTGTACCTAAAAATATCTAAAGATTACAATATGTTCTGTAAGCAAAATGCATTTTCTACTGTAAAGAATATTTTTTCTCAAAAAAATTGATGTGAAAAATGCAATTTGCTCAATATAACAGTATTATAAGGCAGTAAAATATGATAATATCTATCTATATATAAATGAAGAATGAAGATGTTTGTTTGTTCTCTGGCACNAATAACTAAATAAAAATAAAATATTGTTGTTACTGTCTTAGTTATTTATTTATTTTATTTTTATTTTGTTATTTATTCTTATATTATGTTTATATATAGTTTGTATATAATTTCAGAAAAATAGAGAAAAATAATAATATTTTTCACCTTATAAGATGCACATTTTTGTACCTAAAAATATCTAAAGATTACAATATGTTCTGTAAGCAAAATGCATTTTCTACTGTAAAGAATATTTTTTCTCAAAAAAATTGATGTGAAAAATGCAATTTGCTCAATATAACAGTATTATAAGGCAGTAAAATATGATAATATCTATCTATATATAAATGAAGAATGAAGATGTTTGTTTGTTCTCTGGCACTCTTAGGCTGTTTGACCAATTGCTCTGAAACTTTGCAGTTATGTAAACATACCTCTAAATTAGATAATGTTGTATGGTACATTCCACCCTAAAATATTGATTTAATTTCTATATATTAATTAATTTCTGCCTACTTCAATGTAGGATTGTGACAATCACATGAAATTACCTGTTTCTTTATATTCAGTGCTTAGCAGTTTTTAACTATTAATTGACAGTGTAATTTCAAGTGTATACAGATATGTACTTGCAGTATAAAAAAAAAAGAGGAAATATGAATTGTGCTATACAAAAACACAATACAATGAAAAATACATTGGTGTCTCATATAACGTACACCTCGAACAACGGACTTTCCGTTCGGCAGTTACATGAGGTGAACAACGGATTTTCTGCGAACAAGTGCGAATGATGTTTCCACTCTTTTGCCATTGCCAATGACAATTTGCTATTTTAAAAAAATATTAGTATTATTAGAATATATTATTACTATATCTGAGGTACAGAGCTCTCATTGGGATTCGGCTTGCTCTCTTGTTTATTACGTACATCACCTCAGTGCAGAGTATTTATATTTATTCAAGTGTTGTGCAAATCATGGCTTCTAAATAACAGAAAGGTGATTTCAATTGAAACAATGCAAGAAATCATCAGAAAGAGTTAAAGTTGACAAAAACTTCCTTGTCAAATAAGTAGAGGTTCAGGAGTTTATCTACACTTGTTATCCAAACAGAGCTGAGGCCAACAGGATCAATGACACCCTTGCCCGTCATTTACGACAGGTGTTGAAGAAGAGAAAGAAACAGACCACCTTTGACATATTTTTCAAGAAGCCAGCTGCCAAATAACAAAAGATGGAACAAGAGGAGTTGAACCTGCAAGCTCTGGTAGTCTCTCCTGAATCTGACTCCGATTAAAAAACAATAAAAAGAGACCTGCTGCAATGTGTAAAAAGTCTGTATCTGTATGAATGTGTGAAGAAAGTGTTCCTCCACCTCCTCCTCACAACATCTGACTACCCAGCATAATTGGTAACTACTCCATTTTCATTTTTTTCAATGGTACAGTATGGTTATTTTATGATGCAAAATGAATTATATGTTTTAAAATGTATTTCTATGGGAAAATGTGTTTCGTATAATGGACTATTCACTTAACAGACGTGCATCTGGAATGGATTAAGTATGTTATACAAGGCACCACTGTATCAGGTTTTATTTATAATTGTGATCCTGTTCTTAAAACTCACAATATGTACACAAAAGATGATTAACACTGAAAATATAATTTGTGATGCTAGAAAAATGTCTTTGCATTTCCAAGTTATACTTTGAAAAATATTATTTTATTAAAGTCAAGTTGTTACATCTAAGGACTCAGATATTTTTTTTTTTCGAACAGTATTTTCTTAAAATTAATAATACTATATGTTTTAAATTTCTCTTATAAACCTGGACAATGCCAGGTGTAACAAGCTAGTATATATACTTGTGTATAAAATTGAATGTCTGTCTGTTTGTTTGTCTGTCCACTTGTTTGAATATCACATGAGAACAGCTGAATCTTTGTACATAGATTCAGGATAGTCCTGAAAAAGTTATTGATTATTTTCCATTTCCAAAATTGTTCAATTTTATAAAGTTTGATAGAATTATGATATCATTTGCAAGAGTAAATTGTTCACTTTTGATTCTTACCAAGTCTTTAGTATGAATAGGAAAATTGCCCAGAGGCAGTAGGTCTGGTGAACTCTGAAATTCAAATACAATATGCTAATATTGTAGTCATTAATAGTCAAAAGTGGACATTAGTGAAAGCTGATCAAATGAAATTTGATTCATCAGTCTATGATTCGAGCAAAATGTATTGAACATATCACAATTGTCATTTTTACCTTGGAGTTTTAGTTCATTATACTTATGTGTTTTTGGAACTGAATTTTGAAAGCTCATTCTTTAGTTTTACACAAAAGTCAGCTTTGTTGTTTCAAAATGATTCTTGTTGCAATGATATTTCTAACAATAAATGAAGTGACAACACTGCTATTACTTATAAATGAAGAATCTTTATTTTGCTTTTGCTTGGCATCAAGTAAATAAGGCCTCAATAAAGCTCTACTTATAGCATCAAAACTTTACAAGAATACTCAGTGTGAGGTCGCCAAACCGTGCGTAGCGTCAGAATGTCCGATTTGTGAGTGGGTGTGTTGTCACAGAGACAAACTCCACAGTTACAAATAGTTACCTGGTTTATTATAACCAAAAGAATAAGTTTACAACTACAACAGTTGACAGTAGGCAATGTTGGGTCTTCTAATTTGTTTCATCCCTCAAAGGGTGAATCCCACTGGAACTGTTGTTTCAGATCTTTTTCGGAAAGTAGCTGGCCCCAGGATATTGGAAGGAGAAAGTCCATTATGAAGTCAGGGTGCAATCCAGTTTGATACCAATATGGAGAGATGATTTCTTTTTCAGCATATGGTGTCACACAATAGGAAGACAGGGAGAAGTTCCCATTTTAAAAGTTTTTTTTTTTTTTTTTTTGTCCCAGACTGAACATTTCGATAGGTCATTTCTGACTCACCTCCACTTTCCAATTACAAAATGTAACAATATCAGAATCCAGATTGTGGGATGAGTCAATACTGACTGACAATTCAATCCCTATCAAAGATGTTCAATCGTAGAACTTACATTATTCTTTTGTCTTAACTTGAGAAGTTTGTTTTTCCAAGAATTTTCTTTAAACATGTCCTTTTATGGGCATGAAATTTTCCATTTTCTCCCCCCTTGTTTCTTTTGTTGTTTTTTCCTTTTTTTCACAAATTATAACTATTACCCCTTTTTCGTTCTTTTTACAATAAAACAAAATTAAATTTTTTTTGTGCACATATTCTCGACCCACTTCTGGAGCTGCACAAAAGTAACAAATGCATTATAATGAATGAGGAACTCTATAAGAATTTCTTGGAATAAGATATTTGAATTAAAACAGGACTTCCAAGGAAACATTGTAGGGAAGTAAAAGCAAGGCTGAGGAAATGAGAGACCATGAATTTAGGTAAAGGAGGAGTTATGATTACTGGTTTCTAACTGTATAATGATTCAGGTCATATCGAGCATAGAAGAACGATTTGCTTGAAATAAGAATTTCACCAGATTTTTGAATGTTTTGATTTGTAATAATATGATAATATCTCAAATCATCTATCATCTGGAGCTCTTCAGAAAGTGTGCAAATTAAGGCCATCTCTCAATAAGCAAAAGCTATGAGAATAGTTGTTATCCTTTTCATCACTATGGCTGAAAGTTATAAAACTTTCAATTCAAAAATCAATTCAGTAACTTTAACAAGACTGACTGATATAGCCTAGACTACTAGAGGGCCATATTTGACAATATAGTGTGAATATGGGATAACCACATACTTGAGTCTGAAACTATCAATAGTTTCTCTAAGCTTACAAGTTAGTTCTATGCAAATAACTGTCTTGACTTAAACTAGGCTTTCTGACTCTTAGGTATTTTTTATTTTTTTTTTCTTTGGACTTAAAACATTTTTTATATAGTCCTGGGAATTCCTGGAATTTGAAAAATTAATTATGACAGCTAGATGGTCAAGACATTTAAAGTGTCGCTTACTGCTCTGGGATCCATGATCAAATCCAGGTGAGCAACTCCAGAAATTTTTTGTGGGCAGTTTGTCCTGGATATGTTAGACCTGTCCCCCTCCCCATCTGGCTGCCCTATTGTAGAATTGACCAAATTCATGAAGAGCATGGCAAAAAGATCTTAGTGCCAACAGGACAGAAAGAGTAAAAAATAAAAAAATGTTCCAAGTCCTATGAATTACCATAGGACTATACAGTTTGAATTAGCATAAAAATATTTTTTAATTATATTAATTATATTTTAATATACTTATGCAATGAATTAAATATTTGTTTTAAACTAAAATAAAAAGTTTTATTATAACATATTTTATTGGGTTGTTCAGAAAGTAAGTTCGTTTTTTTTCCGTGGAAAAAAAAAACGCAATATTCTTATGATAAATAAATATGTTATTGAATTATATGTTGACCATTTTGGTCAAATACCTGTTGTCATCGTTTCTGGTAGTAGCACGATTTCACATTCATAAAAGTTTTGATCGTTGCTTACAAAAAACTGATTCAAGTGATTTTTGACATTGTCATTTCAAGTAAATGTCTTACAGTTAAAAAAAATTGTACAGACCGGAACAAGTAATAATCTGAGTGTGCTCAATCTGGTGAATACTGCTGGTGTGATAGCACATCCCATCTAAGTTATAACAGTTTCTGATGAGTTACCAAACTTGTGTGAAATTTGACATTATTGTGGTAAAACACTACAGCTGTTTTTTTTTATCAATTCTGGATGGCTTTTTCTGTTTGATGATATTACGCAATTTGTTTACTCCAATGCAGTACACTTTCGAATTGTTAAATTGTCTGGTAAAAGCTCCAAAAAAAATTTCCTTAAAACCCCACCAAATAGAGCATTTCTCTTTAAGAACTCGTGGAATTCATATATCGAGCTTCGAAACGAAACCAATTTGTTTCAAGTACTCCTAAACAGTTCAATTTGACAAATTTAATCTCTTAGTGATTTCACGTGTTGTTATTCCGCAGTTTGCTTCAATCGGTACTTTTATTTTGTTTTCATTGGCTTCAATTGGCCATCCATAACGCGGTGCATCTTCAATACTGAAATTGCGAGAACGTAATTTTGTAAACCAGTTTTGGCTCTGTCGTTCTGTCAACACATCTCCACCATACATGTCACACGATTTTTTTCTTGCTTGAACGGCTTTTTTATTTTTTTGGTAATAAAAAAGCAAAATATGCCGAAGATGCTGCTTTCGATCTTCCATATTTGATGGGACACAAAAAATAAACAATTGCACGAAATCAAACAAAATTTTTTACAAATAAGCCATAAAATGCTAGCTGTCAAAATATATAATGATAATACAGTTTAGAAGGAAAATGGCGGAAAAAATACCACTAATCCATCTAGTTGTAAAAAAAAAACGAACTTACTTTTCGAACAACCCAATATTTTGAATTAACGTATATACAAAGTCAAAATTTAAACATAAAGTAAACAAAAATATTGTAAAGCAAAAAGCATATTTATTATTATTGAAAATATACACAAATTAACATGTAGTAAATGTAAGAAAATATATACATTTAACTAAGAAATGTTTTGATAAGAAGGATAATTGTGTGAACTAACTGATATGGACAAGGCAAAGCTCAAGTATTTTGGTAAAGCTTCTATAATTTATGGTATTAGAGATTAAAAATTCTGTTTAATTTTATTTTATTTTTATCTAATTTTATGCACATTTGATTTTGAATCTAAATATATTTATATATACAGTAATAATAATAATAATAATTGTTTTCAGGCATTGGAGAAAACAATTCGTGCAAATATTGAGAACGAAATCAGGTGTAGAGCAAGTGGAGTTGGAACAAGTTCTTTTAATTCTAAGAATAAAAACTAATATTAAAACACTTGTATATTTTTATTCTCTTTAAATTATCACAATCTTTATTAATTGCAATAAATGTTCTGTTTCTTCTTTGAAGAAATTTTTAATACACTAAAAACCTCAATATAATAAACTAATTTGGGCGAAGGGGTTTGTGCTTTATTAAAGCTGAAAGTCTTTCTTATAATAAATTAGGTTTTCCAAATGTTCCGAAACTGAAACAAACAAATATACAATATAAATCTAAATAAATAAATGCTTTTTGAAAAATACATTTTATGGGCAGTGACTTTTAGATTTGAAAAAAATTACCTGTTAATTTAATTACATATAAAACACACTGCATGACGATGATTATGATGCAGTTACTTTCAATAAAGTGAAGTCACCAACAAGATGAACTGTTCCAAATTATGAGGCAAATTTGTAAAGATAGAAAGTCCAGAAAATACTTAAAAAGCATTTAAAGTTTAGATTGACTTATAATACCTTTACATCATATATCTGTTTATTTTTCAACATAGTAATCATGAACCTCAATATACTTAATGAGTCTGAATATCAGTACAAGTCGACCCTCCTACAACACTGTTGGTAATTCCGTGTTATACGAATTCCATGTTATACGAGTCACTTAGATTTTACAAATACGTGAGCCGTTCACAGCCCGGCACACGTATTTGTAAAATCTAAGTGACTCGTACAACATTGAATTCATATAAAACGGAATTATCAACAGTGTTACGGGGGGGTCGACTTGTATTATAACAACAATAGAACAGCGAGACTTTTTGTATATTTACAACTACTGACAGCAATCAAAAAAGTGCTATTCGAACTGATAATTTTAAGGGNTGACTCGTACAACATTGAATTCATATAAAACGGAATTATCAACAGTGTTACGGGGGGGTCGACTTGTATTATAACAACAATAGAACAGCGAGACTTTTTGTATATTTACAACTACTGACAGCAATCAAAAAAGTGCTATTCGAACTGATAATTTTAAGGGATAGTATTTATAAGTTGGGAGGGTTGCCTTTTCAAATTGGGGGAACTACGTATATTTCGTGTAATAAAAAATTAAGCATACCTATCATTCTTTTGCATACATACTACGTGAATAATTCCATCGAGACCGAAGCAAAAAGTTCTAAAAAAAGACAGAAAACGGGAACAAGACTAACAAAAACATTCACATAAAAGTGTTAATATTCACAAGTCATAAATAGACACGTGAAGCAAAAAATAAAAGAAGGTAATAAAGTCATTTTGACTGCTTTCTGCGGTTGTAAATAAAGATCTTTATATCTCGGGAACATTTGATTATATCAAGATAAAATTCGGTGGTAATACAAAACGTTAAGATTCAGGAAAATCAAAAAAACTTCAGCTTCCTACGAAGCGGTGGATATGCCGCTTTCCTTGTATTTTCTAAAAAATAAATACATATTAATTTTAATTATACGAAAATAATCGCACAATATTTTATTATAACCGCATTNGTATTTTCTAAAAAATAAATACATATTAATTTTAATTATACGAAAATAATCGCACAATATTTTATTATAACCGCATTACGTATTTTATTACAAATTTCTATACTATACGTGAAAAAAAAGATGAGATTGCTACCATGTTTTCCCGAAAATAAGACCTAGCAAAGTTTTTTAGTCGTAACGGTCATCGATAAATGGTTGAAAATGGCCGTTGGCTTTTTTGAAAGTACAGCCACTGGTCAGCAGACAATCACTCTATACGGCATGATTTGCATAAGACTGTCTTGGTAATCACAGATTTGCATAACGTTATGGCTGGTGATCGCTAATTGGTCGGCCGGGAATCACGTCACATCATATTTGCATAGTGCTACGGTTCAGTAAGCATTAATTAGTCATCGGGCTCGATGACCAATTAGGGTTAAGTTGAAGCGAGGGTGGGAAGTCCACTCCAGCACGGGAACTTCGTGAGTTCATTTCGACACGATCGGATATACGTCACTCTCGTTTAAGTTAGACTTGGGAATTTTTTTCTTCAACAATAAATGTGAATGTTTCTTCATGGATAAATAAGACCTAGAGCATCTTTGAGAGCAAAAATTAATATAAGACACTGTCTTATTTTCGGGAAAATAGGGTATTGTATATTGGAATATTAATGGCGGAGTGGAAGCGTCGTATCGTCAGCATCCAAAAAAGTCAGATTCGCTATACGGAACACCAACCTCACCCGGTTTAGCCGGTGGAAGTCTAGGACCTCGGGTGGATTCTACACGTAATACCGCATCCAATTCTATCCAGGATCGATTCTGGGCTGTTAGCCGCTTTCGCCTGATTACGTGAATCACGAGTAGATTTATAACTTAACCCAGCCGATAGGAATTTACTGGTATGTTTTTACGATAGTTCTATATAGTTGACAGGAGTTTAAAAAAATCCTTTAAAATATTTGATATATTTTTATTCCGCTCTCTGATTTTATATTACTAGCCGATTTCAATGTTAAACCAATGATATTACGATTTCGTACATCCCATCTTTAAGTGAATGTAGAAAAAAACGTGTACAATTCTTGTACAATGTTAAAAAATTAACCGTTACTTCGACAGCGTCGTTTACAACTAAATTTAATGAATTAGAGAGATGCACGAGGTACAGAAAAAGCTCTAGAATTTATTTTCCTTAAATTTACGATTTATGTATCCGTTGTGGTAGAAATTTGTCTTTCCACTTTCTTCCCGAGACTACAAATATTAGAGTACAAAGTAACCGGTTTCGACTTATTTATACTTAAGTAGTTAAATAATTAAGAGATTAGGGAATTGTGAACATAAATAAAAACCCTGCCGAAAGAGTCGGAATATTACTTAATTAAAAGCTTAACCGAACCAATCTCTAGCCGAGTACCGGTATAGTGGGGACTGATTTCTTCGTAATATTAGACGTAATATAAACAGAAATTTTTTCAGTTCAACGAGTGACCGAAAAGTTGTAAATTTTGGGAATTTCCGTGGACATCTGGTCTTAAGACGAATTAGTTAGAAAACGAATGACTATTATGTTTAACGTATTTATATTTTTACAGCTATGGTGAGAAACGTTTACAGTTTATGCTAAATTTGAATTGATGTTATGTTTTTATCAAAGCAAGAATCTGCATTTAGAGGGTATAGGGAATCTATTGAATCTAATAACAGAGGTAATTATATTGAACTTGTTCATTTATTAATTACGTCAGATAAATAATCTATTAAAAATACATTTAAAGAATTAACTGATTGCCCCTAAGAGTCGGCTTCTTACAGAAAAAGCTTTCCTCTCATCAAATGTCACAGCACGCCACTACTATGAAGGTTGTTCTGTGCTGTGGTTGTGGATTATAGTTTAAATGCTGGTATAAGTTTAACATAACCAGAAGAATGAAATACAGTACTTATAAAACCCAGAATCGGACAATTAATTACTGCACAAATATGGAATTCCCACTGTACAATTTAAAATTCCCATTACACAATTTGTGTCTGGTTGCATCAATCGATGGAATTTTATAATTCACGCTTTGGTGGTGTGTGCGGTGATCGAGAAAGGTCGCACACGCAGTGGCATAAAGATGACCAACCCTTGTTTGTTCAGGAGCGAGACACATTACGAGGTGTGGAGTAGCTGTGCAAAGATGGTGACATACGGTAAATGGAAACAATCAAGAATTGTCATTGGAAGCTAATGATCGTAGTGGGTTCGTTTACAGACGTGCGGAGAAATGGCCGTTAACCTGAAGAAAACGTCGTTGGTGGATGACACCGGTTTTTACGTTGAATTTTTAGGTGAGTATCCGTATTTCCATTATATTTCATATAATTTTCATAATGTTTGCATTAGAAATGTAAAAATTATAGCGATTTTTCAATGCCTAGTTAGTTTCCACCCACCCAACGTTCAGATGAAAGGAATAAAGATATTAGAGAGGTTGCGGCCGAAGTTTTAAACGCGGAAACCTGTACGTCGGACGTTCAGCGCCGTTTTCCTGTAAGCCTGGAAGTTTGACAATGGTATTTGGAACGTCGAGCATGATTCCACTGACTATCCAAATACCATTGTCAAACTTATAGGCTTACAGGAAAGCGGCGCTGAACGTCCAACGTACACGTTTCCACGTTTAAAACTTCGGCCGCAACCTCGCTATTGATCTTTAGGGATTTACTAGATAATTATTATTATTTTGCGAGAATTTAATAATAATTTTTTGCGTTTTGTGTCAAACCGAGATAATTAATACTCTATACTAACAGCTTTCCATGGCTATATAATAATCCTCATCCTTAAGTCGCGCAAAGTCACGGCTGCTACGCTTCCATAGAGATAAAAATAAATATATAAAGACGAGCCAAATAAATTTTTATAACTTAAATTGCAATACAAAATGTGATAGAGTAAAAAAGTAATTTTTTTCTGTAGATTTATTTAACTTTTAATTCGAAATTAATTTTTTTTAACAAATGCAGGAGATGGCAACACGTATCTTGTACTGTAACTGGGTCACGTGTAAGGTTGTTTCTTTGTTGTCCGAAAACACAACTGTATTTCTGAAAATGGCGTCCTCTTCGAATCTAAAACGACCTTTACCGTGTGATCCCGAAAGTTCTGAATTTTCACGTTGTACCAAGATGTCCAAGTACGATATAATCTCGAAAATAGGCCAGGGTACCTTCGGCGAAGTGTTTAAGGCACGCCACAGAGAGTCCAGGAAGATAGTGGCTTTGAAGAAGGTGCTAATGGAGAATGAGAAAGAAGGCTTTCCAATAACGGCTCTTCGAGAAATCAAGATCCTACAGTTATTAAAACACGAGAACGTCGTCAGTTTGCTAGAAATATGCCAAGAGAGAGAAGCCAAAAGTCTCAAAGCCACTTTCTACTTAGTATTTGAATTTTGTGAACACGACTTAGCTGGATTATTGAGCAATATTAACGTTAAATTCTCTCTGGAAGAAATCAAGAAAGTTATGCAGCAGTTACTGAATGGATTGTATTACATACACATCAACAGAATACTTCATAGGGATATGAAAGCTGCTAATATACTCATCACCAAAGCTGGCGTTCTCAAGCTTGCCGATTTTGGTCTGGCCAGAGCCTTCAGAGAAAGTAAAATTGGCGATCCGAACAGATACACCAATCGCGTGGTCACTATTTGGTATCGACCCCCGGAATTATTATTGGGAGATAGGAACTACGGCCCTCCAGTCGATTTGTGGGGAGCGGGTTGCATCATGGCAGAAATTTGGACCAGAAGTCCGATCATGCAGGGACACAGCGAGCAGCATCAACTGACTTTGATCGGTAATTTATGTGGTTCCATAACACCCGAAGTATGGCCCGGTGTAGAAAAATTGGAATTATACAATAAGTTAGAATTACTGAAAGGTCAAAAAAGAAGAGTCAAAGAAAGATTGAAATTTTACATAAAAGATCCTCACGCTCTGGACCTCCTCGACCGGTTATTAATTTTGGATCCGAGCAAGAGAATTGACAGTGACAGTGCATTAAATCATGATTTTTTCTGGAATGACCCCATGCCTTGTGATTTAGGCAAAATGTTATCTAAGCATACACATTCAATGTTTGAATATTCCATCAAAAAAAGAATGGTTCAAAAATTTTGTCCTAGTCAGGTGCCACACCTTAAACCGGTACAGACTTCGTCCACGGATGGCCAGTACCACGACCGTATCTTCTAATGCATTCGTTACCTCGAGTTGATTTGATTTGATGTCAAAGGAACAACTTAAATTGTGATAGTTACTGTGATATCTGAAAGCTTTGTATCAATGATAAATGTTAAGAGAAATGTTATTTTTATAAACATTTTCATTTTGAATAAAAATTTTTTTATAACTGTTTGTTTTAAAATTTTGAAATTTATAGTACAGTACATTCATGTGTAGGTTGAATATTTCTTTGGTTAAACTTCAAATTAACAATGGTCCACCAATCAGATTTAATTAACCATCATCAAACTTTAGATATGTTTGATAATTTAATATGGTAACCAAATCTATTACAATGTAGATAAATTTATATTTAATTTCAGCTATTCTAATCTAACTGAAGATGTTTTTTAAAATTAAGTATAAAAAGACAGCTGAGGTTGAATATTTCCTAAATGCTTATTTCCAATGCATCAAATGGCAAATATAATTAAAATATTTAGTATCTTTACCTAATTAAGGCACTTAATCACTCTGGTAAGCAAGAAAGTGAATTAATATTTACATTTTTTAATCACTGCAATGACTTATTCAATTTTTCCCTTGCAATTAGACAATCTGTATTTTAAGAAAAAATTATTTTTGTTTAATCATTACTATAATTTTGGAATTGTTTCTTCATGCTTAGGTAGCACTTTCATATGAAATATATATCCAAATCCCAAAAAAAGGTTTTGTTTCTGCAGCAGATTGAAATTTAAGAATGTTCTTTATTTTCTTTTCTCTGTACAGACTTCCAATAAATTTAATTTTGTAGATTTATATTTTAAACAAGTCAAAAATTTAAGATTTCATTTGTTTTATTCAAACATCAATTAAATGTACAATGCATTATAAAAATGATCATTTCAACATTTGAAGAAGAAACTCAATATTTGAAAAGAAGTTTTTTTTAAAGTGTGTTAAATTTTATGAAATTACATAAGAAATTTATATTTAATTTAAAATAATTTGTAGAAGTTTAAAGCAAATAAGTTGTGCTTTTCAAATTGCATTTTTTTAAAATTACTTACAAATAACACATTATCTGGTTTCAAATTTTACAATATAGTGACATACTAAATTACTTTATTTAACTGAAAAGTATAATAAAACTAGTTTATTGTGAAGATATTTTATAAACAACACAGACTAGTGAATAAAATTAATAAAAATATTATTTGTAAACTTATTTATTCTGTAGATATGTATCACTTCAATATTTTTCAAATACCACAAACTTAATTCATATTCTAGATATATATATAAAACTATCATAGTAAGTACAGTACATCTATATAAGTAGAGACATATGAGTACTATTTATACATATAAATCATTAGAATGTGAAGTGCTTCCAAGACTATTGCTCATCTTAACTTCTATTAGTTTTAGCATATGTAAATAAAGTTTTAAGAGTAAAAATTAATTAGAAAAATATGTTTTTAATGGATAAAAACAACATCTATGTTGTTAGAAACAAAACTAATGTAATGGAAATAGCCAAATGTTGTCTAATTCATTCCCACCAGACATTTTTGGTAGGGNAGGACATAGTAAGATGTTTCGTTTTCGACTACGAGTGACGTCAAATAAGCAACCAATGAGAAGCGTTTCTTCTCTATGAGGCAACCTGATAATCTAAGATTTTGATCCAAGATGGCATATTTGTACTTGTAACGCCATCTAGGGGCACTCCGAGTAACTGATGTGGACATTTTAAAGGTAAGACGTGAATTCTTAAACATTTTAATTGTATACTTTTAACATATAACGAAAAATTGTAAGAAAAATAATAAAATTTATAAATTCGGAAAAACGATTACGTATAGCTTTATTAATAGTCTAACTTATCTACGTTGAAAAAGCATTCGTGAATCAAACGGAATTCATGTGGCGTTGTAATTCAAAATAAATATCTAAGCTTGACGGATTTTTAATAACTGTTTATATAAAGTCAAAATATTTATATTTTATGTTTATAATATATTGAAAGTAAACAACGTTATTCTAGTTTAAAATAAAATAACTAAAACGAAATGGCGTCGTCTTGCAGTTTGCTATTAAGATGGAGAAGGCAACGTTATCGTTTATAATAAAATGAACGATTACACAGTCGCGTTAATGATCTTTTTTATACACTTTATTAAATTATTCGGTCTTCAAATAAAACTTTAAGTGTGAAAAAATGCAGAAATCAGATAACAGATGGCGCTACACGTAGTAAATCCTTGTCCTATTTTGTACAGTACTTTCTACATAAAATCTTGTAAAGATTTGTCCATAAATTACATCCACATTTGTCTTGAAATTTTTTTACTCCTTTTCCCTTATTGTCCCAATTTATCTAAGTTTTTGTATTGTCCGAAATGAAAATAATATATAAATATAATACATCTCAAAGCCCAATGATATATTAATAAACCAACAAACGCCTAAATAATCGGTCTATAATTAAATAATAAATACAAATGAATTTGGTATAGATGGTATGTTTTAAATTATTTATTAAATTATTAAAAATTATAATTATTAATCTAGATAAGAGATGGCGCTTAACACTTACCTCTCTACTAAATTCATTTGTATTTATTATTTTATTATAGCCATATTATCGCCCGATTATTTAAGCGTTTGTTGGTTTATGAAATTAATATAGCTTTTTATTCAATAATTTATATTTAAGTGTTTTACATTATAGGCTTATACAATATCTATTTATTTAGATATTGTATGTAATGTAGCCTGCTTTATCCCTACTTATCTGCGTTTGAACTTATATTGCCGTCACAGCGGCACGCGTGCGTTTTTGTGTATATTTGTGAAGTTCATCTTCGGTTTAACAAATTTTTTGTCATATGCGTAATTTTTGAGTTATTCTAACAGATTGGCTAAAACATGCCAAGTTCTATACACTAGCTGGGTTCTGCTTGCAATAAGTTTATAGTTTATACAATTTATTCTCACAAGTTGGAAGTTATTTAAGGGTCTAACCCATATTGCTGTAAATTTTAATAAACTTTATTGATCTAAATAAATATATTTTCGCTTTATAGCGCGATTTGGACGCGATTTAATTGCCTTTACTACTGCTAAATCGCCTTCGAGTACTTTAGCGACCGAGTACTGGGACAACGTATCAATGTGTTTTCGCTTGGCGATTCTGTCGCAGCAAATCAACAAACNACAGTAGTTTCTGTGAAAACATTTCACTGATAAAGTGATTAGCTGTGCATTTTCTACTGTCTGGCCATCATTGTCTGGACATCTCATGCTCCATATCTTAATAAACCAACAAACGCCTAAATACTCGGGCTATAATATGGCTATAAATACAAATGAATTTGGTATAGATGGTATGTTTTAAATTATTTATTAAATTATTAAAAATTATAATAATTAATTTAGATAAGAGATGGTACCTAACGCTTACCTCTATACCAAATTCATTTGTATTTATTATTTAATTATAGCCATATTATAGCCCAATTATTTAGGCGTTTGTTGGTTTATTAACCCGTCGGCACGCGCGTGCTCCGTCAAATAGAAATTACGCGCGCTCGGTCAATTAGGCACCAAATTAAAAAATTAATTAATAAAAATTTAGCGTCGAAAAACGGGTATTTTTACTTTAATCCAGTGTTACGATATGTTTGTAGTCGAATTTAGTCAAAAAACTTTAATTTTGTTATAATTTTATTAATGATTTTAATTTTTTAATATTAGAAGGTAATTAGCATAAATTACAAAGTGTCGTGTTTNCACAGCGGCACGCGTGCGTTTTTGTGTATATTTGTGAAGTTCATCTTTGGTTTAACAAATTTTTTGTCATATGCGTAATTTTTGAGTTATTCTAACAGATTGGCTAAAACATGCCAAGTTCTATACACTAGCTGGGTTCTGCTTGCAATAAGTTTATAGTTTATACAATTTATTCTCACAAGTTGGAAGTTATTTAAGGGTCTAACCCATATTGCTGTAAATTTTAATAAACTTTATTGATCTAAATAAATATATTTTCGCTTTATAGCGCGATTTGGACGCGATTTAATTGCCTTTACTACTGCTAAATCGCCTTCGAGTACTTTAGCGACCGAGTACTGGGACAACGTATCAATGTGTTTTCGCTTGGCGATTCTGTCGCAACAAATCAACAAACGGTACCGTACAAATTACAAGTGTATTTTCACATTATATTTTTATCCATTATTCTTAGCACAACACACAACACCCGTATTGATGTGAAAATTTCAAAAAGATGCAAAAATAACAAATATTAGATTTTGAAAATTAAATTAAAGAATATAAAATATTTTAATAAGTTGATAATAAGTTGAAAGTTTTGCCTCCATTTTAAAAAATATCCATAACTCATTACAAATCGCCTTCCATTTCGCGAAAAGTTTGTAGGCATATAGAGAAACGATTGTGTCACTCTATGAATTATCGGGTGACGGCGACGCGATCGCGCTAAGTGGAGAGCCAGCATAGAGGGCCTCTATTTACATAACGCCCATAAGCTTTGTTCTCTGATTTATCGGCCGGATGGCCGAGCGGCGAAGGTGGCAGCCTACCGCTCTAGGGGATCCGAGATCGAATCCGGACGGGTCAGCGGGTGGTCCGTCCATACATTCAGGGCCCCGTCCCTCGCCGACCAATTTTTGGACCTGGCCGAATCCATAACGAGCTTGCTACAAAAGGCCCTCTTAGCACTCACAGGGCGGAGAGAGTTAAAAAAAAAAACAAAAATTACTATTAATATTATTTAAGTAAATAAAGTCTCATCTTGAATAAAAATATCATATACACATATACTTAAATTATTAAAAACATAAAATTTTATTAAAAGTTTTAAATAATTCCAGGGGGAAAAAATGTAGATGGCGCACGTAAAAGAGCAGACGAACTGCGAAGAATTTCAAAATTCACATAGGATTTATCAAGTATGTATTATTTATTTATTTTATTCGATTATTTCGAAATCATTACGTATTTACGAAAACATCTTTATTATTATAATATATAATAATACCTTTGTATAATACTATCAATACTGTACAATAAATAAAGCCGTGTGAACTTCTTGATGTAAATAAACCATATTAGAGCATATTGTTTTCGTGTAGCTAATAATAAAAGCTATAGAATTTAAATGAGTTTTATATTAAATACATTTTATTAATAAAATTAAATTTACTTTTTCTTTATTACAGGTTGATATGCAAGACATGGAGCTGTCGACTAGTAGCAATGGTAATATTTCTATAGAAACTAAAGAATCGGTTGGAGGAAATAATTCTCATTCCAAAGGGTAAAATATTTGTTATAATTTTTTAATTAAATGTATTTAATATATCACACGTGTTACAAGATTCCCTATTTAAAAACAAATACAATATACGCTTCGGATTTTCGGTATTCACGCAAAATATTTTGGAACTTCGACTTTCTATATTATTAATGGTTGATATACAAATTACACATTTAACAGAATATAAACACAGTAATTTATTTTAAACGCAATTTACGTGTTCTTAATTAAAAATCATCGTATTTGGAATTTTGCTTGATAAAATTAAGAAAATAGAGTTAGAAGCTAAACACTCAAAAACTTGTAATCTTAGATGTTTGAATATTAAGAAGCTTAAAATAATTTTAAAAATAAAAGCTTTTTTTTTCATTTACTAAGTGGATTATTATAATCAGGACCCTTAATCATATCTTGTATTTGAGATGTTGCAATCAGAGCCTCCCATAGCAGGGAGCTGGGGATTTTTTCCGGAGCACAGTGAAAAATTAGTGGCTCGTAGCGTTATCCATTCCTATAAATTAATGCTATGTTTACTAACGACAAAATAAAATATTTAAGATTGCTGCTGATAAAAAAAAAATTCTACATATTTTATTTGTTTAAAAAATAGCAAAAGGGGCCCGCTCTACCCCCAGTTCTCGGTGGTCCATCAAATACTTTTCTTGATAAAAGTAAATGAGATACACAGTCGTAGTATAAACTGGGATAACAGTTTTGTAATTCCGCTGAGAATCACTATATTCATCTACATGGTGTTTCAGCGTTTATCTTAGCGCACAACCTCGTGAAAAATAGCGTATGGAGCTAACACGATTTCATATTTTGGAGATTTTATTCCCTTATCTACCGCGTGTGAAATTCGTACACTATAAACACACATTACAACATTGTTTCGTATAACGATGAAAGTAATAAAATAGAGTTTATTTTTAAAAAATGTCATTGATACAGAAAGATTTTAATTAATTAAAACATCATAACACAATTTAGATTCTTTTGCCAGTAAAGTTACGCAACTCGTTGCTGTATTTTTTATACAACTAATCCATCTCGATACGTAGTCCTATTCAGCTAAATATCGGACATGAAAAAAAGTATTAAAAAATTAATTATACATTATTATAATATATGCAATTTTAAATGTTGACTAAAATATTGAAGTTTCTTACTTAAACGGTACAAAATTAATTACAATCAAGGATTATTATACAAGATAAATCTTTTACATAGTTTTAAAATCTTTTCTGTAGTAAACAAGTTGCTTCGCCTGAAAATGCTGAGACAAATATGGCAAAACCTGTTATGAATACTGAAAGTATTTATAAACAAGCTAAAGACATGATCGAACAAGTGAATCGCAAAAGAAAGAGAGATGCAATTCTTCTTTCTGATATAAAAAGTTCCCTGGAAAATCAGGTAGTTAAATTTGGCTATTTATAATATATTTACGAATAATTTAAAAAAAAACGAATTTTTGTGAAATGATTTTAGCAGAATTGGACTGCAATTTGAAAAAATTGTAGACCTACAAATTCCCACTGTTTGTCCTTCCTTAATCTCGAGAACGGAGTTATATAGATGAAAGTCGAGACTACATATGGAAACCTTAGGGGTAGGCCCGATTAACTATATACGAACTTCCGGCCTACACAAGAGATCACACTATTTTAATTCAAAAAATTTTTCCCAGAACGGAGTTACATAGATGATCGGTCCGACTCTCTTGTTATCGGGAAAAGTATGATGTACAGGGGCAAGATACTACTAATTTGAGATCGATAGCACACATTTTAAATTAAAAAAGCCGGGTATTTTGACGATGTCACAATAATTTTCGCTGGTTTTATGTTAAATATTTCATTTTATGTTATCTTAGTATTAATTAATAACTAAATATATTTATTTACATTGACAATGAAATTCTTTTACACTATTGTAACTATATAATTAATTATACTAGATCGTATCAATTACACATACCTTGATATTGTAGGTAAAAAATTCGTACGAGAAGATATCGCAACAAATGCTTTCCATTTATAACAACACAGAAAAAACTCTGGAACCTAAACTTGCCGAATTATTTGCCATACTCGAAAGAATATCGAAACTAGAACAAGAACTGCAGGAATTTAGAAATATGTTACACACTTTATATCAAGATACACAAAATTAACTGTAACCATTTAATATTGTTGAAGAATTCGTTTAATATTCTTCGTGTTAATAATATGTTTAAATGTGTATTATCGAATGTTAAAATAGATATCCAAGTTCGAGTAAATTTTAAAACATTCAAATGTAGGTTTATTGGTCATGTTTATTTTATAATAAATTATAAAAATGCTGCTTTGATAACTACTTTTGTGAATATAACATTGGCTAGAGTGTGATCAATTTAAGTTACCATATTAGTATTATTAGGTCAATGTTCGGTTCTTGCGAGTTAATTGATACAGTATTTAATACAGGCACTCAGATTTTCTAACAACTTGCAGTTTCATACATAATGTTATAACAACTCTAAATCACTATTCCTGTGCCAAATTAGCACTTTTGCACATTTTCCAGCAGACAAAGCAAAATTTCGAGATGTAGAGAAATGAATTTTGCTATCGGTAACATCAAAATTATTTGTAAAAAATTAATTTTTTAAATTGATTTTATATTTAATCTATTGTTCTAAAATGTTTTGAGCATTGTAATATATTCACTGTAAAAAAGAAATTTTCATATCTTTTAAGAATGTCGTGTTTCTTTTTGCTTCTCTGGAAAGAACAGCAGAACCTACCTTTATAACGTGCAAAAACGTTGCCCATAAAATTAAGCACTCTTGTGAATTATAGTATAAGAAAACTAGTAGATTCAGTTACAGGTTCTCCTGGAATAATGTAAAACATCGGTTAATCGAGGTTAAATAATGTATTTATTTACGAAGCAAATATATGTAAGTGTCAGTTCAAAAAGATGATTTGTGTTCAAGACTTTCTCCATTGCTCTTTATCTTATGACAATTGCATACTTGCATAACCATTTGTGGTGTAACATTTACAGTTTTCAGCTCAGATTTCATTGATATATTTAAATTAGATCGCTCATTTTTTCCTTTTCCTGTTGAACTACAGAAGCCAAAATCTCAAAATAACAGATATTTAAAGTCAGAGCTAGTCTCAACATCTAAACTGATTTTCCTGTAATATCACAAAGGGATTATAGCCAAATTTTGCCAATTTATTCTCCATTAGATATGTGATTTCTAAAAATAACACAACAGGCAAAACATGCAAGTTGTACTAAAACTATTAATCACATTTTCATTTTCCTTGGTGCAGGAAGCCATGTTTATAAATTTTACGAAAAAAAATGCAATGCGCTCTAACATTTGACATTTTACACAAAAATCATATAAAAAATTGTAAATATTAATAGCGAGTAAAATCATTAAGTCCGATCCTACTCGTGATACGACATCTCTCCATCCCGTTGACTTTTAACCACCAACATTTAACAATTATCAATGCTACTAATACCCAAACCTCCCTGCAAAATTTCAGAAATTTGACAAAAAGCATGGAGTTATTAATCTTCAAATAGGACGAACAAAATCGTGCGCCCCTCACACGTATAGTTTTTTTCGCTCGACGTTTCAAGGTCCCGAGTCCAAATATCTTGGGGTCATTTTTTGACCGATGACAATACTTTTCCTCTGTTATATATAACAGCCGGAAAAGAAAAAAAGACCGGAATCGTACATTTCAAATTTGCCGGAGTTTGGAGTATTTGTTTACAGACTCAAAGTCCTTTGGAACACCAAACCACCAGAAAACACCCCGACAAACTACCGTTCATTTTGTAACAAACGCAGTAAGAATTTCAAAATTAATTTCTACAAATCGAGACAAATTTTGTTTATTTATAATGGTTTTTCCATCAATATTTTGATTTCCAGTTTATTTTTCACGACATTATTAGAACCTCTAACAAAAGTCAAAATCTCTTCATTTTTTTTGCTTATTTTTCCTTTTATTAATGATTCTTTAATAATATGAAAAACTGAAACTTAATATAATTATACACAACACTATTTTTTAGATATATAATTAAACGATAGTCTAAACTTATACGTCGTCTTATCGAGAATTGGCAACGAAACTAATTCTCGATAACAATTTTAAGCCCGCTGAATGGGCGGAGACTGTTTCAATTGCAATATAATAGAACGCATACGCGATGTGTCTCTGGTGGAACGCGAGGATTTGGGGTTGAAATCGCAAAGACGGGCAATTCTCTCCCAGTCTTGTCCCGGAGTACCGGCGTCTCTTTCTTCTATCCATTCTTTTTCTGCATTCCTAAGGTAGCAAAATAAATATTTTTAATAATTGCCATTAAAGTAAAATCAATTTTAAAGAATTAAAATGTTTCATAGCATGCTATTTAGGTATACAGTTAAACTGCTAATTTAACTAATTCACATAAAATTAGATATAATTATACAAGGTGTTCGGAAAATAACGCACCAGAGGAGCACCTGATGGAGTAAGAATGTGCAGCCCAGCAAGTACGATATATAGTGTTCTGTCGATCGCTTGATAACGCATTTTCCGTATCTGTGGGAAGTGTGCATTATCGTAAATCTGTGGCATTTTAAACTATTGTTTGATAAATCCTGTCCTTTATGTAACCCCAATAAAAAAAAATCTAATGGCATCAAATCAGGAGACCATGGACCTCCTCAACTAATCCATATTCCTGGAAAAGTGGCATTTAGCCACTAAACTGGAAGACCCAAACGGGTGGTGCTCGATCGTGTTGATATAAAATGTAGTTACCGTACGAGAGCAGTGGTTCAACATGCTCTATGTACTTTTGGGTTTTTAGTAGAGCATGTTGGACGATATGGATTTTTCGTTTCCAGTAGTGCACGTTAGTGAGGTTTACCTCGCCGCAAGCATAAAATGACACTTTGTCCCTGAAGCAAATCCCACTGGAAACGGTAGGATCCGTGTTGTCGAGGTCTATAAACGTTTCTGCAAAGTTTATCTTTGCACTACAATGTCATCAAGAGCTTCTTCCTGAAGATGGACTTGTACAGATGATAACAGGACCTCTTGAGAATTGTAGGCAAGGAGTTTGACTAAATTTCTGCCTCCAGAGAACATGGTGAATGGAATTGTACAAGCAAATGTTTACCATAAATGTACAGTAACTATGATGTCTATAGTCGCATCGTCCATCTTATGACTCATGGGTGATGTGCCAAGACCTAGAAGGCCCAGGTCATTTGTGCATCAAAAGTTAGCTACCATTCTTAAGATTGTAGAATTGATAGGGCCGATTGGGATGCAATGCATGACATCTCTTGTGCTGCATCCTTGTAGGTAAAGCTGTAATATTACAGCTTTACCTACAAGGATGCAGCACAAGAGATGTCATATTACAGCTTTCTTCCCTCAGCATTCTCATATCTCATTGTCACACACTGTTTGCACTCTACTAAACCTGCTAAAACAACTTTAAATATCTGTCTGGAGTAACAAAATACCACCACTGCAGACAGTAATTTGCATAAAATGAACACTTGTGATGTACAGTGTATCTTTATTACTAATTATTGAAAATCACTAAGGAATTGCAATGGCAATTTTTGAAAGCATTTTGCAAGCATATAATCTGCAACTATATCATAGACAAGAGGTTACACATAAGTAACTGTCAGGTTAATGTCGAATACTGTATACCACAACAGGACCTGATGACATAAGAATGCCAGAAAAGCCCTGATGTCGGTGCTTTGATGGACGGCATTCTTGATTCATTCATTTAAGTTATGGCAACGCAACACTTTGGCAATCTGCCTAGGGGAATGCCCTCTGGGAGATCTTTTTAAGGGAAATTAGCCCCTATTTAGGCATTACAGACGTGGAGAAACCCCGGAAAACTCCACGTGGCCAGCCTGTTCAAGTGAGGCACGAACCCACAACCAAATTCCCAGTGTTCAGGGAATGAAGACCGCTTGGCCACTGGTGGGCTTCTTGATTCATCAGGTGTTCATATGTTGCATTATTTTCTAAATACCAGTACATATAAATTCTGTTTCAGAGAAAATACTGTAGAAGTCAAAAGTTAAAATTGATATTTTACTCCTTTTTTTCTAAGTTTGGATAAATAAGAAATTAACAGTAAATTACATCACATAAATGTAACAAAACAAAAATACTAATTTGATGCACCATTGTAGACTATTGGCCTATCACAATTACACCGGTACTGCACAAAAGTGATCCCAGCTAGAATTAATAAGCTAAATCAGTGGTTCCCAATTAGTGGTATGCGTACCCCTGGGAGTACGCGAAATTGCATAAAGGGGTACACGCGACAATCTAAAATTGTTTTAAAATTTAAATGCATCAGATGAAGCAATTTAAAAAATAATGGGGGACCATCAAAAATTCGGCAATTTACAACACGATGTGGAATGCTCAAATTCGTTTATTTATAACTAAAAATATTCTCGAAATTTCATTTAAAAAAATGCATTTGTGACAATACCTAAATTCTTACGCAAGAAACAAAAATTGTACAATTATCATTATTATCATGTCAGTGAAGCAGCAATAAAATATTTACTACCATTTTGCGCAACATACCTCTGCAAGAGTGGATTTTCGGCCATGACAAACTTCGGCCATGTTAAATTATTGTCGATTCCAATGGAAATTTCATTTTAATGAACAATAATTTGAAATAATTCAATTTTGTGTCAGGCTGGCCTCTACTAGGCCCCCATAACAAAACTATGGCTACGCCAATGATCATCACCGACTTCGACTCGAAGATGACTCGAGACCAAAGCTGACCAAAAAGCAACCAGATTTTACAAATTTGTGCAATGAAAATTGTGCACATTTGTCGCATTAAGATTAAATAACTTTGTTATTTTCATTATTATTAAAATTGTATTTTAAAGGTAATAAATGTAAAAAAAGCTTATTCTATTTATCACTCGCTGTCTACCAACAGCTTCGCCCGCATTATATCAAATTTTCACGTGGGAGTAAGATATTTTCTCATAGTAAAAGGTAGCCTATGTCCATCTTCAACGTGTAAGCTATTTCTGTGCCAAATTTTATTAAAATCTGTTTGGCGCTTTAGACGTAAAAAGGTAACAGACAGACAGCAGACAGAATTATTTTCGAATTTATAATATTAGTATGGATTAATACGAATTTCTGCTATAAGGGGTATGCGAGTTTGAGCTATTTCTTGAAGTGGTACGCAGGAAAAATTAATTGGGAACCACTGAGCTAAATGAAGATGTAGAATGATTTCCGACTGCTCATGATAAATTATAGAGTTTGGATCAGGTTCAAATCTGAATTCCCATTCTAATGTCTTACTGCATGACCACCTGACTGACAAAATACAGCAATAAGGAGCTCATAGAACATGACCATTCGGAAGATAATAAGTAAAAATTAAATATTTAAACAATTTACTTCAAAATGAGTTTTTAAATAAGTATCTGAAAAGAATCTTGTACTAGTAGTTAAGTTATAACAATTTTCTTTAAATCAGAATTTTGGAAGAAATACATAAATGTTTTATACAGATACATATAAACATTTTAGCCATATAATAAAACTGAATATTGAAATGAAAATTATTTCACAACAATTAGAACAGAATTTGACCAAATTGTTAATTGACAGTAACAAATAGTTACTATTCACTATCTTCTAATGAAGTAAACATTGCAAATTTTCATTTCAAACAGCTTGAATTATGATTTATTTATTAAAAATAGATACAAAAATTGTTTCACCACTTACTTTGATGCTTCTCTGGAAGGCATTAAAAATAATAGAAAGTTAATTATTATTCATAAAATCATTACCTGTAAGTGAGGAATATAAAACAGAGCCACAATTATCTAAAGTAACAGACTCATTCTCTAAAGTAACTTTGATGATAATCAAGATATAACAAAATTTTTAATTGTCATAAATCTTCTCATTAAAAAATTTATATTAAGTTATAGCCTCTTGAATACCATCATCATCAGGTTACCTAGATGACATACAATTCAAGAATGTCATCTAGGTATCCTGATAATGATGGCATTCTGATAATCCTGATAAAAATTCCCAAAAAATGTGTTAAAACCATTGTTCTCATCTTTGCTTTCTCAGCAAAGATGAGAACATTCTTAACTTTCAAAGATGAGAACTTCCATAACTTCTCAGATAATGTGAAACCTTGGTTAATCGAGATTCTACCGTAATTTTAATTACACATTTTTAAGACAAATAACAGCTATATTGAATTCTATTATCATTTTAAGTTTTCAATAAAATTTACATTTACCTCTACAAATAATGTATTTCATAATACTATGGATAAAAAAAATTTGTAATAACTTTTATTTTTTAATACAAAACTATCTTACCTATTATTTAATTTGGCCTTTTCAACTTGCTCTTTGTATCGAGCATACCATTCTTCGATTTCTTTATTAGCAGTTTCTCTCAATTCTGCTTTCTTCAGTTCCTCTTCGCTATCTGAATATAAATTAAACATTTTTTAAAACTTAAAAAAGTTTAAAATTCATAATAAAATACCTATTGTTCTTTATATAGCTTTAATAATATGATGTACTGTATATAGATGCTCACATTAAAAATAAAAACTATACAAAAGATGTATTATTGTTCAAATCAGTTTCAGAGCTGTCAAAATTTCTGGAGCAAATAGTTTTGATGTATACAAATATTTTCAAGACAACAAAACTGTTTGGAATATCAAAACTATATTAATTAAAGGCAGAAAGGTTTTAATGTGAACTTGTGATGTCTTATTTGTTTTACACAAACAGACAATTTACATTCTAACTATAATTTACCTATACAATTTTAATTTATGCTTATTTTGAAGAGTAAATTAGTACTTCGGATAAAAAGGAATGTCCATTTGCAAATTTCTCAGTAAAAAATTAAAAATAAATATTTTTGGGGTTTACAAAATTAACTGCATTGGCTGTTTTTTTTCCGAGCTCCAATGGTCCATAAAAAAAAAAAAAGACAAGTGTAAATAACAAAATGAATTTATTACCAAAAGTTAGGTACAAACATGGTTACTTTTTGACAATGCTTTCTTTGGTCTAGGTGAGACATGATTTTTCCACAGTCAATTGTCTGTTCCTTAAAAATATTCATTTTACAAAACAATAAAAATTGCAAATCAGTGAGAACATGGATGTAATCTAAATAGCAAGAAACAAACTACAAATGATAAATGACACAAAATTTTGTGGGAAGCTAAATAATGATGTCTATTACGCATCCTAGTTTGCTCAAGTTCAGCAAGTGGCTGATTGTAGCACCATGTCACCAATCCCAGAACTTTTTTACTGCACCTCATATATATATATATAAAAAACAGAGAGCAAACTTTAATAAATTGTTTATGGAACACGAAAAAAATCTCAAATTTATCTGGCTCATTATTACCTGTAAATTTCTGAAACTTCCTAAATCAACAAAATACAAACCATGTACTGTATCTTTGATAAAGACAAAGATTAACAGTAGATAAATATTAAACCCTTTTAAAAAGAAGCTAATTTCTAACTATCATATTACTAATTCTGTAAGAAGGCAGACAAAGAAGAATCCATAGGGATTACTTTTGACTGTTTAGAAAACTGCCTTCAAAGTCAAACTAAGAAGAATTACACATTACTTCCAAAGTATATTATTGCAAGAATAATAAGGTTAAGAATTGCTGAGTTAGACTTTTTATCTTTTGCAAATTCCTATTCAAATAGTTCGGAAGTCACAGACACCAGCAATTTCAAAAAACAAATTAAGAGCAAAGATAAATATCTAAACAAAGAGACAAGCGTAAAATCAAGAGTATTTTATAGTAATTAAATCAAAAGTAAAATAAAAACAGAATTTGTTCTTAATGTATAGAATTATTTCTGCATCTCAGTAATAACCTTTGAAATTATTTAGTTGAACCTGAATATTACACAGATTAATTCTAAATTAACATTTTAAAAAATGATTTCTACACTTCCTTAATATAAACTAAACATTTTTAACATAAGTGCAAGGCTGGGAATGTCGTTAAAATTTTCATTGATGTCTTGTAATTCTGGATGATCATGTCTCAAATTTTCAAGAGAATTTGATTTAAACTACTGCATAATATTTCAAGGTAGCGTGCAAGGAGATTTCTATAAAGCTGTTTTCTTTTCTTGCTGCCAGTCTCTCAAACTTTGTTAATAGTTATGTGAGGCTCCAGAAGTGGGTCGAAATTCGTACACAAAAAATGTTTTAATTTCGTATTAAAAAAAAAATTTATAATAATAATCATTATTTTATATTGTAAAAAGAAACCATCAAATGCAGAATGAATATTTAATGTTCATATATAGTCATATCTGTAGAAATTTCTGAGAAAAAACGAATTTCTCAGAAAGAAACAATAGATGAATTTGAGTACTTAGATCGAACATCTTCGATAGGAATCAAATTGTCAGTCGGGGAGACTCACCCCGCGATCTGGGCTCCGATCCCGTTACAATTCCTAACGAGGAGGAGAGACCAATTAGAGAACGGGGGCAGATCGATGTTGCCCTATCAGAATGTTCGATCTGGGACCCAGAAAAAACTTATAAAAATTGCGCAAAAATAGGATGTGACGTTCTTGGTGCTTGGATACATAGGGATTCTTCTCCTGGACGTGCGTGCTCCCGATCATTGAAAAAAAACAAAGAACATTTTGGAACATCGTGGAAGCATCATTCTCTGGGTGCCTCCTAGCGATCTACAGATTCGTCAGTTCGTCCAACGAGAAGCCGCCGAAAGCCGTGATCAACGCCCCGGGGCCTACGGAATATTCCACCGGCAGCGTCCATCCACAAGTAACGAAAACCGAATTTTTCGAACTTTATTTCGGACTTTACCCGCGCGTTTTGTGGTGCTACTTCGTCCATCAAGGAATTTGTAAGGAAAATTTCTATATTTATTAAACGGTATACGATGGAGGACCTGTCTCAGTAAAGTTTTTTCACTCCCACATGACAGTGCTGACCACTCGACTGTCGCGACACTTTCTCCCCCAATCGGCAAACCTCGCAGTTACTGTGAAAGGAACTTCAATCAAATTTTAACTATCTGAAACTGTAAAATTTTTCAGGTCTTAAATGTTGAGTGACGTCCTCAGACCACCTCACTAAGCAAATGCTTTACTTGAACTAAGGAATAACTTGGAAGTTCATAAACTGATCCAAGAGTTGAATCATTCAAACATTCAAATCAAGGGTCTCTATCTAATTTTTATAAAATTAGCAAAAAATCCTGAAACAGGCAGACTTCCTGAAGTTCACAGACTTGTTTCTGTAAACCTCCAGAGTTCTGCCTATGTTTCAGATCTATGGTTGGTTGGATTTGGAGTTTTTGGTACAAAGGCCTGGATATGCCATAAAATCAGTCTAAATCCTTGTTTAACAATTATTGTTACACATTACATACCAGACAAAGATAATTATTACACTTGTCTTGGAACATAAAATATAAGTTTAGTAAATTAAAAGCATACTAAAATTTTTATTAGTGTTTGTATTATTGTTTTCAAAGCTATTTTTGCTTCATCTTCAAATCCTAAAATATGCAAATATTTGAACTTCAAAGTATGGTGCTCATTGGTTTATAAGTCATAATTTGAAATCATTGTATGGACTGTTAATTAATTTTATTTGAAGAATTGCTAACAATAAAATTCAATTGCTTTTATAAATATAGTTATTACCTTTCTTTTGTAGCATCTCTTGTTGGCTCTCACGCCATTTACGAATTTTTTCTGGCTCCTCTCTAAATACAGACGACTTATTCTGTAACACTGTCATAGATGCTGGCAGTGGAGCTTCCAAATTTCCATTCATCTATTTAATAAACAACAAGGTTAAATATAAAATTCATGAAATATGCATTTTTTAGCATTTACTCATTGTTTTAAAAATTATGATACATCAAAGATTACACAAAAATAAAGGAGTATATTTTAAAGAAAATTCAAAATTTAGAATTATATATTTAACGAATACTGAAAATAAGTTTAAAGACATTATTACTATAACAGATAAATCTAATATTTTATCATCTGGAAAACCATTATTTTATAAGACAATTATTAAGCTATGATATATAAACAACAAAATATTAGTTTGATTATAAAAAAAATATGTTACAAATGCAACATGCTATTTATGAAATTTTTTTTGCATAGATAAAAAAAAAAATAGTAGTTTACCTGAGATTCTGGGAATATATCATTTGCAGATTCTAGAAATAAATATAAATACAAAGTTACAAAAAAATAACCATCAGTTCATAGTAATCCAACAATTTTGTTAATACAAGTGTTGGAATTTTAATAGTGAGAAAACTGCATTTATACTATAGATACAGTTTATTCTGGATATCTGTCTTTAATATTCCTTGAATATAGTCTTCATCCATCTTTAGAATTTGGACATTTTCATATTTTTGGAAGATATTTGATGCAATCAACACTTCTATTGACATTTGCCATTGAGAAATTATATGTGCAGCTTATTGCACAAATAATTTCTCTTGATTTAAACTATTGATCATGGAATGATTTCTTTATCTTGCAAAAAAGACTAAAGTTACACAGGCTCATATCAGGAAAGTATGAAGATGTTTTGGAAGAACGTAATGCCATCAAGCTAACACAGTTAACAAAGTTGAATCATTGGCAATGTGCTTTGTCATACAAGACAAAAGGAAAAAAAAAATCACTCAATTAAAAAAGTGTGCATAATCATCATAATGATCATTACCTTGGCTTTTTCTGGTTTCTAGTATATATTTACAGTCAGGTTGATGAAAAACAATGCAATTCATTGAATTATTTTTTAAGTTCCAGTTCACATAAATGACCTATGTTTCATCAATGGTAATAATGCAACATGCAAATCATCTCCTTCCTTATAACATTCAAGATAATATTTTGCAACATTATAGGAGTGCCATTTTTATAGTCCAGTCAAATGATGAGAAATCCAAAAGTTTCTTCTAATTTGGTCTTTAAGATATAACAGTGTGCATACCAATTCAAACTTTGGCAGCAAGTTTGAATTGTCAATCTTTATCTCCTTCCAACAGTGATGCAACCGTTTCCACCTGCAATTCATCCATAGGACTCTCTCTGAATACATTTTGTCACTCATTTGCATCTTCTGAATTGTTATACCCATCTTGCAATGACTTTGTACAGTAGACTGTCTTCTCCATAACCTTCCCAAAGGTCTTCATAACATTCTTTTGTTGTTTGAACCGAGGCCACTTCAGTCTTTAGCCAAGTACTTTGTACTGTACTCTTTGAAAATCATCAGTTCAAACACTGATATTTCAAAACTACTGCAGTGATATCTCTCAGGTGATACGGACATTATACTAGACACCGGACACACATCATACTACTTTTCACAAATCCCATTTTGTATTTTTACAAAATTATAGCATAATTCTCACTATTAAAATTCCAATCTATGTAAAACTCTCATATAAAAATTATTTCAGAACAAAATAATGTTTAATATTTAGACATAAAATAAATACTAAATAAATGTACATGATTTTCATGTATATTTCTTTTGCTATATTAAAAGTTCCAAAACTAATATTAAAAGTTAATATTTAAAAGTTCCAAAACCAATATTTTGGAACTTTTCTCCAGATCCAATTATTTTGCAATAAGATATATTCAATTCATCTTTTATTTGCAAGATCAAAATATTTTGATTACCTTAACTTACCATTTAGTTTTGGTTATTTGAATAGGATACAATATTGCATACAACTCTGATAGATTTTTATGGCACTCCTTACTTTTTGATTTACAGCTTTTATGATTTTGTCACAAGATTCATACCATAACAATGAGGGATTTAAATACCATTATTTTTATTGACTATCTGTGTATGGTGTTATATAACCCAAACTATATTTGTAAGATCAATGCACTGAATAGACATTTTTCTTAACAGATTTAAAGGAACCGATTGAGCCATCAGAATGCAAATTTACTGTACTCAAACATTAAAATTTCTATTTTCAAACTGATTTTATGAAAAAAAAATAATGCCTGGTTATATAAAAAAATTTCTTAAGAGATTTAAAATACTGCTGTTATTACATGCGAAAAATTACTTTTTTAGATAAGATAACATATAACATGAAACTGCTGAGATTATTAACACACATCAAAGTTAGCCAGTCAAGTAATTAGATACACATGTATACTGATATAAGTATTTGAAAGAAAACAAAAACTAAATGAGTATATACAGTATATATACCTTAACTGATATTTAACGAGTATTTTCTAGAACTGAGTGGTAATATATAATTTAAGGCTAGTTAAGACTCTCACTTCAAGTACTGTTTTTGAATGAAAACATATTAAATATTTGTAAAAAGTTAGAAAATATAGTAACACATTCTTATTTTGAACAAAATGGAAGGAAACACCTAGTCTGAACTATGAAAAAAATTGAACACTATAGAAAACTTTTTTTTCCAGATAAAAATCATTTGTTTCATATAATCAATTAAAGGTCACTTTTATAACTTGCAGATGTGGTTTTTTTTTAATGATTTGTTCAGTAGTCTTCTTCCTAAATCATTCATGTTTTTTTTTCTTTTCTATTTCAATAAATGATAGCGTTAGGCACAATCGATTGTAAACATCCAAGTAGTCGATTGTTTAAGACAGTGTTTTTCAACCTGTGGGTCGCAAAGCCATACACGGGGGGTCGCGGGTAAAAGAAAAAGACAAGTGTTTGTATGTCCTACACTACAATAAAAAAACTACAATTTCAGTGAGAAGACTGTACCTATTTATTTTACAGTGCAATTAGTTTTTTTTATCAATATTTAAATCTCAACAAAGAAAATTAAATATGTAGTTTTTAAAATCACTGACATAGTTTTAATATGGCCGTGGGGGTCACCAGAATTTTTTAACTTGTAAAGGGGCCACGTATTCAAGAAGGTTGAAAAACACTGGTTTAAGACAACCAAAAAAGTTGGATGTTTTCTGTAGAAGTATGCCAGAATCAGTCAATTCTGGCAAACTTCTACAGAATTAAATTTTAAGTGATAAGAAAAATATTTTTAAAAAACTTTAAATTCATAAATTTTTATTGTAAATTATTGTAATGTGTGTTCTTACATGATTTTATTTTAACTGAACAAATTCAGAAATTAGAAATTATTAAAGCTATAGATATAGAAATTACTGCAAATTAGCATTGTCTGCTAGAATTCTAGCATACAGTGCTAGCTAGTGTGGTTAATTTAAAATAGAAATAAACAACATTGCATATGACTTCAATTGTAAAAATTAATTTTATACAAACAGAAAAAACAAAATATCAAACATTTATACCAAATTCTCTGATACATGTTGAAAAGTGCAGAGAACAGACCAATTATTACTACATGTGAATTCAAAATGACTAATGAAAATAAGAATGTAATAAATTTCATACCTTTTCTTGAGGGTAAACCATACTATAACTTGTATAATTTATAATCAATATCAATTCAAAATAATCAATTATCCAATTTCCATCTTCCATTTAACAAATTTAAAGAGATTGCAGTAAACAGTTAAGTAACTAAGATAATTTTAACATAACTGAGTAACATTGTCCTAAAAACAATGCAGAGGTACAGTACATGCCTTTAGATCCCTTGAATGTGCTTTGAGCAGCACCCATATTCTCAAAATCCTGATCCCGGATACACTGCTGACATTTTAACTCTCCCTCCACAAGAAAGAAATCTAGTTTTTAGGTCTAACTTTCAAGAAACAAACATAACTAAAATTTCTGTCTATTAATTGTTAAAATTGTGCCTGATTAAATAAAATCATTTCTATACATATATAATCATATAAATTATAAAATAAAATATAAAAATATGGAATAAAGACAAAAACAATTTGTCTTTAGATTTATAACAATAAAAGATTACAATACTTTTTTAAAAAATCAGTTTTTTAAAAAACTTCTTAAAAACATAAAAAAAACTTCAAAGGTTGATACAGAAGACAACCGTCGTTTTTTAGCTATAACCACATTTTATCAGAGACAAAACTACTAAGGATTACAACCATTAGCTTTTATTACAATACAATGCATTTTGGGTGCAAAAACTTTGTTACTCATGCACCCCTCTTCAGGTAATACATAGATTATAAATTTAAGTGAATGCTAATAACATTCACTTAAAACAATTTTAAGTAAATGTTATTAGCATTATCTTATGATGCAATTAACATCAACGTCTACAAAGTGTTAAAACTAAATTTTTTAACAAAGATCTGTGTCTTCATAAAATAAAAATATTTTGTTACATTCATATTATAATAAATATTAGAGGAAAAAATAATCTTCATACATTATTGTTTGATAGTTTTCACAAGATATAAAAGAACTGTTTACATTTTAAATACATTTTAATTATAATTATTATATATTCAGATACTTCATAGTACTTCAATTTTAAATCTCTTTGGAAAGAAATACATATGATTCTTTCTGGACTCGAATGATATAGCATATATAATAGATTCTTGTCCAGTTTCTCATTTATGGAACTGAATTTAAAGAAAGATTGTGAAATTGTGAAAGATTTACATTTCTTTCAAATATAAATCTTTCACAATTGCATTTTTTTTTCTGATCAAGAAAATCATTATGCCATTTTCCTGTAAACGAAAGAAATTAACTAAATTTGATACTATCAAAACTGTCGAAAATAGTTTCGTTCTACATAATAAAATTCAACATAAGCAAAATACAATAGAACAAGATTGTAATTCAAAAATCAAATGATATTCTACTTAATTTTCAGATGTAGAATCACTAAGTTTTTTGGAATAAAATAATTTGAAATAAAGTAATTTTTATAAAACAGATAAAAAAACATGCTATTCATTTTTAAAAAATATTATCTAGTAGATATTATTACTTCTTAGAGTGACCTAAGATTAGCCAGGTTGTGGCCGAAGTTATCATCTGTAAAACGTGAACATCAAAATGTTCACGTTTTACAAATGTCGCTTACAAGATAGCAGCACTCGACATTTGCATTTTACAGATGAAAACTTCGGCCACAACCTCTCTACTACTACTTAACTTGTTTGAATAAACAAACAACTTTTTCCTAATCTAGAGTTTAATTTGTCATAAAAGTTTTTTTGGCTATTTTAAATAGTCATCATCAGATTCAAAAATTCATTAGCATTGGCATTCTATTACTTATTCAAATAGCTACAAAAAATTTTTTCCTCTCAAAATCAAATATTGTTGGTAAATTTTGGGATAAAAGTGAATCAGTATCAAAAACAATTATTCAAATATCAATATTTTATAAATAGAGATTTATGAAGCTAAAGTTGAGAATATCCAATATAAACAAAATAAAGAGGTCAGATATACACAGTTTTGCTATTTATACTAGCAAAACAGCTTGAGATAACTGTCAATGTCAAGAAGTATGCAGTGCTTATGAGGAAATATAGTTGACCAACTTCGTGCAATGTATAAAGACTAAAGAAAGTTTAATTTCTTAAATTATCATCAAATATTTCTCATTATTTAAAAGAAAATAAACATCAGAATGATTATTAATCATTTCAATTATTTTTTCTTATTTTAATTAATATGTGCATTAAATTTTCTAGTATTTCAATTTTCTATTTTTGAAACTAAAACTAAGTTTCAAATTAATGTCATTCTATATAATAAGAAAATTTAGTATTTTCTTATTATATAGAATGACATTAATTGTAATTTACACAAATTATCTTCCAAAAATACCTTAATTAAAAATATAAACACCAAATTATGGCCCAAATAGGCTCTAATCTGGCTAAACTTTTCACTAAACCAAGTAATTTGATCTAAAGGCAGAGAGTTAATAAAAGATGATGGCTGGCCTATTATTAATAATAATTTAATTTTAGAATTAAATTATTTAGGACAATGATATTCAAACATTTTAACAGTGCGACCCCAAGGTAATTTTCCACAACCCCATTTGGGATCGCGACTCATAGATTGAATAGCACTGGTTTAGGATATTATGGAAGATAGATCTGTCTGGAATGGTGTTTGAATCTAGTTTCCACTTATGATGCAGAAGCATTACTAGTTAGTTACTCTATAATTTCTGAATTAGTATTAATTAAAGCTTTTATTCTTTCTTGAACTTACTTAAAGCCATTGTTTATAGAAAATTTTGCTGTATATCAAATTTGCTAGTTGGTAAAAGGGTGTGCTGTGATAAACTATCAAAATGAAAACAAGTCACAAAATAAAACTAATTTATTTAGAAAAATGTACAAATATTTGCAATGTAGTCTAACAAGGCAGAAAATATATTCATAAAATTTTCAGTAATAAGTGATTAAACATTTTAAAGAAATTTATGATGTATCAAAATCATCATTTAAGATGTAATGAATGAGCATAATATGCAAGATAAAACATATGACCGATTTGTTAGTATTTTTTGAACCAAATAACTAACTTACAACATACAGAAAACAAAGCCTAAATTATTCTACTAATCAAATAATGCAGGATATACAATTACTCTTGTGTTTTTTACTTTAGGGGATAAATGGTAACTACATAGAAATGGACAAAGCTTGGCACCATAATATATGAACAAACATGATACCAGTAACCATTTAGTACATCATTAGTCTGTGTTTGTCTTAAAAATATCATTTAAAATCACTTTCAACTCAAAGTTTTCAGATTCAGTTACCACATGATTAAATAAGACATTAACTTCTATGGTCACATCTGCGTGATTTGAAGAATTATAAGAAATATATACTGTCTGATTTCTGTATATTCTAGATTTTGTTAGTTCTAGTTAACTTTAATGTATGTAATTTATTGGATAAGCCCTATTAAGTAATTTCTATTCACAGGTATTTTCCCCCTAAGTCATTCCTCTGACTTCTTGATATTATTGATAAAGTCTTCATATTAATAAATGTTAAAGTACATTCCTTTTTTATACTATTTTCTAAAGTAGAATCATCTTTCTGTGCATGAACCTGTACACAGCTGCATTATCTTGGGATAGGACATTTGTCCAGAATGCATAAACAGTATATACCTGTACTTGCATTTTAAAGTAACCTCTGCACCTATAAATAGAATGTGCAAGATCTCTACCTCCACAATCTAGTTAGAGATGCACGTTTAGAGTATGAAAACAATGAGTTTTTTTGGTGTTAAATTCAAAAAAAACCAATAAAATAATTTAAAAATGCTAAAAATGTTCAAAGTATTTTATTAAATGTGTTTTTTTTGTAAATATAACACAAAAAACTGTCATTAAAATCTCAACACCATTCTTGCATTTCCAACAAACACATTAAAAACAAATGTTTTCAGCATATTTCATAAGCCTGCATCAGGTTGCCAATCTAGCTTCAATCTGATAATGTTTCAAATTAGAATGTTACTTGCAAAGTGATATTATTTTTTCGAGGTATAGAACATTCTATATTTCTTGTGTGTTCAGAATTAAAGCTAATTTTAAAATGTAAAAAATTAAACATCACTTATCAAGCAACATCCCAGTTTCAAGTGTTATTAAATTGAAGCTAGATGGAAACCCAACATAGGCTTATGAAGCATGCCAAAAACATTTTGTTAATTTGTTCGCTGGAAATGTAAGGATAATATTAAGATTTATGTTAATGATAGTTCCCACTTTGTTCATTGCTTTCAAAAACTTTTTTGTTGTTTTCATAATTATCTTCATATTAGTGTATACCATTATTTTATAAATCTAGAATAAATTTAATACATTATACAACATTCATTCAGTTAACTAGATAAATAACTTTTGTTCATAGATAATATTTAATGCAGATTATAAATATGTTAAAAAATGCATGTAACTTAACACAGCTAGGTTCAGTACATTTTGATACATTATAGCAAGTAAAATTATTCACTAAACACATACAAAATGTAAAGTTCCTTAATAAACAATTGAAAATGTTACATGCCTTAAATCTTTGTGTTTGCTAAACTAGAAACATGGAAATATTTAAAGGGACATATCTCAAAAGATTACTGCCAAACCCACAGTTTTAATTTCCATTTTATACTGGCAACCTACAATTCATGTGCACTTAGAAGCAGGAACGAATCATCACAGTAATTGGTTGCAGCCATCACGATTTTGACATCATTGCCTCTTTCTCTCTAGAACAATGGTTGGCAACCGGTGGTCCACAGACTACCGGTTAATTACCCGGAAAATTTGGGTGGTCCGTAAAGAAATTTGAACATTGATCAACCGAAGGTTACGCGAAGTATTACGAAAGAAATGCAAAATGCTTACTTGCTTTTTTCACTCATTGGGTTTTTTTATTCAAATCTAAAACCAAAAACAAAGTGACTGTTATCAATAAATAATGAACAATAAACAATATTGTGTGTGTGATCGTCGTCCTTCATGGAAAAGCACTAAGAATCCATAAACTTGTTTCAAACAAGCAGCAATGAACTTTAGGCTTGCATTAATTTGTTATAATAAAACACACAGATTTCATATTAATACAGTAAAATTGAACTTAAGATAATTATTCTACAGAATTTGTATCATTTCAAAAAATTCATGATAGTGGTCCGCGGGATTCAAAATTGTGACTTTAGTGGTCCGTGAGGTCAGAAAGGTTGCCGACCGCTGCTCTAGAATACATTATTGCATTATATAGAATCAACATAAAAATGGCCCAGCAAAGTTAGTATTTTCTAGGACTAAATGGATAATTAACAATCTCATCAATTGATCCTAGCTAAAAGTACCATCAAAAATGACAACAAACAAATTGCCCAAGTACATAACAATCCTTATAGTTATAATAAGTTAATTTCTATGATACGTATATTTAATTAAAAATACAGTTGACCCCCCTATAACACTGTTGATTATTTTCTTTTATATGAATTCCATGTTGTACGAGTCACTTAGATTTTACAAATATGTGAGCCATTCACAGCCTGGTGCACATATTTGTAAAATCTAAGTGACTCGTATAACATGGAATTCATATAAAACGGAATTATCAACAGTGTTATAGGGGGGGGTCGACTTGTACAATAAATACACACATGCCAGGTTTTTATGTTGGATATACAGTATATACAAATAATGCAATCAAATGTTTCTGCAGGAGAGAGCATAAGAGACAGCAACATCAGCAGCAATTATTGTGACAATTTATTCCTATTCTACACACACATGCACAGAAACAAAAGCAACTAGTACAGTCGCCACGTACCCGGCTACCCCAGACACACTGGGATAAAACTGGGACATAGCAGATTTTACCCGAAAGATACTGGACGTGGCTTTTATTCTGCCGTCAATAGAAATACATTTAAAACGAGTAAACTGAAAAAGTAGAAACAATTTTTGAATAAATTCTACGTCGCTAGATGGCAGTCCGAAAAAAAAAATCCGGACATCTGGCAACACTAGAGCCTAGTTGACAAACTTTTGGCCCCATTTCCTACACCGTAACACTAATTCCATTATCCACCGCGGTAGAGGCGCAGCGATCGTGCGACACGATTCGACATTAAGGTTACACGCTGTACACATAACATCAAATTAATCTAGGAAATTAGACAAGGAATTGCATAATAAGGAAATAAGGTGTTAAAGCTGTTGGGGGAGTGAAAAACAAACCAATTCGATTTTGATACCATTAAGTTTGCTAGGTTACGCCTTCCACTTTCTGCGCTCGTTACTCATAATTACCATCAAATTAGGCGCAAGTAGAACATTTCGGAGGATAAATTAAACCGAAAATATTTAGGAAATTGACGATTTTTTACCGGTAGCGGCTAGGCCTCGATTTTCGGAAACGTCAAAGTTATCATCCTCCAACCCGGCCAATTCGGTTTGTTCTCTGGCCAGAAACTCCGCCGCAGGATCTTCTTCCTCTTCTCCGACGTTGTTGAAATTGGCTTCGAAAGCTTCGTACTCTTCCATTTTACCGGAAACTTTAATTACCCAGAAAAAAAATCAAACGCCTCCTTTCCCGATGATTAAGATCCTTGCCACCTATTTCATCGGTGCGCCCCCTGCCGATTTCTTATGCCATTTCCGGTGTGACTTGATTACGTAAATTTTTGTCAATTGTAAATATTGATTCACTTTTACTGATTATATGTAATTACTATTTGTTATTGAAAATTACGAAATATTTAATAATAATAATAATAATAATAATAATAATAATAATAAATTCATGAACCATACTACAAGTATATAACACAGACAGTATTGGAAAACAACACGCACAAAATGTACTACGACAGAGCCATAATCACAGATAAAACAATTTACCACAACAGACCAGACATCACACTCATTGACATAAACAATAAAATCACATACATTATAGACATAGCCATTCCAAACACACACAATGTACAAAACACATGCACAGAAAAAATTAGCAAGTACACTGAACTTGCCCAGGAAATAAGGCATCTGTGGAGGATGGATAGGATGCTTATTGTACCTGTTGTTCTCTCCTGCACATGTGTGATACCACACACACTACACAAAAGCCTGGGAACATTACAATTGAATAGAAATACATATATAACACTACAGAAGGCCACTATATTGAATATATTCAACATTGTTAGGAAATTCCTGAATACAGACACTGGCACACTTATTTAATTTTAGTTTTGTTTTGGTTGCTATGCTTTGACTCTGGTCCGCCATAGTACACAGCCACTGGTGTGAACTGAGTATAACCCACTAAACCCAACATAATAATAATAATAGTTAATATAAATTCTTACTTACATACAATATACCGAATCATTAAACGGTTGTGAGGGGCGTCTGCCACGCCAACGGTTTTGGTCTCCTTTTTGGGGGGGTCTCTTTCCGCTTTGTAAATACCCATACTTTTTTTTGGACCAGTCGTGGGTTCGGCCAGATTCACAATCGGACTACGCCCGAAATATCCGAGACAAACCACTCCGGAAAAATCTCTATTTTTTTTTTTTTTTCTGTCCGGATTCGATCTTGGGTTTTACAGAGCGTTAGGTTGACACCTTAACTGTCTTGAGCATCTGATCAGCATGGTCAGATGTTCGGAGATTTTCGTGGGAGGTTTGGTCCTAATAAATATAGAATTTTGTTCTTCACTCGACTTTTCCGGTGCAGATTCAACTGAATCCGATACGGACGAAAAGGCCTTCCGTTCCTTACTTGGTTTTATTCGGCCTATAATCCCTTCCGGGGAATTATAGGCCGAATAAAACCAAGTAAAAAAAACTGACATCGCCAAAAGGCTACATTATCTTCTAATGTAGAATATTTTTGTGTCTATTCTTTTAAACCTTATCTTGACATTCCTATTTTGTAGAGAAACGGCTCAACGATGTATTTGAGTCATACAAAATCTATGAAAATTTCTTTATTCACCCCATTTAAATTAGAGCTTCTCATAGTAGCAGGTCGGCGTTTTTACTATATTATCCACACGACACTAAGTTTTTCATTACAAGTAAAGTGAAAAGTCGACTAAAGTTCCTGAAAACAGGACGACATTAATTAACTTTTATGAGACATTCTATTCGGAATTCTACAAATTCTAAATAAAAGAGAGTATGAAAATTCTCTCACACTCTCTTTTTTAAGTTAAAAGTATTTTCCGATCCAAAAAAAGCTATTGAATTGTTATTGTTAAGAATTGATATGACACAATTGCTGACTATTAAGACCTCAGTGAATTAATTACTGCTTTTCGAAAGATGCTTTATTTACCAATTATATTTCTATTACAGAACGCATTTCAGTCAAATTACTTGTTTGGTCTTCTTCAGTTGTACTAAAAAATAAAATAGCAGTTTCATTTGATGTATTCTAGTAAATAAAATAAATGAAAACATTATTAATTGTAAATTAAACAAATAAGGGAGAAAACACAGTTTATATAATAAACTACGTTAATTGTGAGTAAATCTTTTGTTTTAATTTTGTAAAAATATCTTTTAGAATAATTCATAAATATAACTTACCTTTTACGTACTTCAATTCATAGTACAACTGAAGAGGACCAAAGAAGCAATTTGGCCGAAATACATTTTTTAATAGAAATATTATTATTAAATAAAACATCTTTCCAAAAACAGTAATTGTTCACTATCTCAATCTTACGAAATCACTTGTTTCCATGCAATTTTATTCTTATAAACATAAAACTAAGCAATAAAAGCAAAATAGCACTACGGGAAATCCCGTGAATTTTGACCTATCGACAGGAAGTTTCGCCAGCATCTCACTGATAACAAAAAAGGCTTAAGTTTAAAATTTGAGCTTTCTACATCCAGTAGTTTTTCTTCTATGACCGTCTGCAGTCCTGGATGAAGAAAAGAAGAAAATACAGCTTTTTGACGATTTTTGTACTTTTTAATTGCTTATAGTTCGGCAACTGCTTTATAGAATAATCTGAAAATCTTCACACTATCTAAGAAAACAATTATCTTTCGAACGAGATATTCAGAATAGCTATAAACATTTGAGAGCGGAAAAATCAACCCCCGAAAATCGGTAACTCTGATTCCTGTAAATTTAATTAGTAAACTGTTTTTACTTGGCGAGGAGTCATTACCGTAACTCTCGATTTACATTCTCATGTTTTCGATCTTAGCGGAATTTATTTTTCTCTAATGAACATTATGAATTCGCAATTTCAAGAATAAAAATTGTTGATTAACGCGCAATATTCATAATGTTGTAGGAATAAAAATGGCGTCTTGAAATAAGTACAGTATAATTCGAACCAATCATCAGTCTTCGGAGTATTAAATAGATCGAATTTATTAATTTATATTTATTCAAAAAGCGATACGTTTCAATCCTATTTTAACTAATTAACATTATATACTTTTCGAATTAATTATTACGACTGTTTCGCATGCAAGTAATGCTTTTTCTCACTCGGGCATTGACGCATATTATTCAAACGTACAATATATTATGACGTTAGCAAAAGTTCTTTAATATGTATTTGTTAATCCAAGGTGTATGTTTTTAATACATTACAAAATTATTTTAAATTTATCAATGTCTAAATCGTCACGAGAACGTCCTCGAATTTAATTTATTATTCATCTTCGAGGAATTTACGATGTCGATGTTAAACAATAAATGCAAAACGCCCTCTTTCGGTTTTTGTATTTTTCATTTTACATCTTTATGGCGACTTCAGACGTATAAACTCGTACACATTTAATCGCTTAATAGAGAACATTTATTATTTTAAAAAAATTCTAACGCATTCAACAAATTAATTAAAAAAGTAACAAACAAATTTCCATTTATAAAATAAACTCGGGACGAAATTTAGTAACAGAAAATAAATGCGGACGTATTTGAATATCGCGCGACAAAATAATTCGAATATATTCATTAAAACCGGCATAAATAACTTAAAACGGATCGGTGATAAGTCCTGATAAACTTCGTCCTCCCCGCAACACGCGGGAGAGGAGGAGGCCGGCAGCCATCTTGGATCGTCACGCCATCTGGGCCTCAACCGGCTGTAAACGGTCGGCGGGCTCAGCGTACCGGAGGATAGTGGTTCGCCTCTCGGGCCGTACTCGGCCACCACAGCCGACGGCCCGTCGTCTTCCCGGGCCGAAGGAGAGGAAGCGGGCAACCTCCTCGGTCCGACTCCAGGTAAGAATCATCATCCTTCTTTCCGCTACGCTTCTTTTGTTTCCCCATTCCACGCGCGTCCGTTCGGATCGAATGAGTGCCGCTTCCTTCCCCTCCGCGGCCACCGCCCGCCCGAAAGGGGTCGAAGACCTCTTAACGTTTCGTCTTCTACGCGAAGAAGACCGCTCCGTCCCCGAGGGGATCGACCTCGACTCGTGTAAACGTCCCGAATGACCGGATTTACTCCTCCTCCCTCGTCCGGAAGAGGAAGAAAAATCTTCCACCGTTAACATGGAGGCTGCGGAGATCATCTCGAGATGCTTTGTGTATTTATACCGGACGCACGTGAAGAGTTTGGAATATTTTACCACGAAATTTAATGCCGATCCGCCTTTTATCTAAGCTTTGCGGATGGAAAACGATTAAGTTTCTTCGTTAAATATATATATTTGCGGATGGAAATCGATAAATTTGCTTAGGATGCGGATGATGTCGCGTTGTAATTCTGTTTTTATTTAAATATCGGAAGTGTAAGACGATTGATATTAATTAATTAAGAATGTTATCCTGTTTACGGGATAATCTATCAAACGTGTTTGTTTTATACAAATGACAGCATTATTTCTCTAGGACAAATTCCAAATTCCACTTGACTCTTTAAATATTCAATTCGTTAATCTTTTATTTTTCTACATTCTTTGTAATATTTTGTAATTATAAATCAATATTTCCCACCTTCGCTTAACTTATTGCCGAATAAAAACGTCTTCGACGAGGACCAAAGTGGCATCTAATTAAAAGAGTATTTTTTCGAATTTATAAATTTGCTTTAAGGCATTACGTTCGTATGCGGTTCTTATGTTAATTAATATAATTAACTTTGTAAATTCCGTCCAAATCGCGTTTCTTTTGAATGATGCGAAATGTTATTTTTTCGAGCGTGTCTTAAATTTTCTATGAAAAAATGTACCGTAAGTATAAACTTTTGCTTCTAATGTCGTGCTCTATTCTGGTTTACTGTGAGAAAATTTAATTAAAATAATGTTTCGAATGTGTTCGAATTCTCCACTGATGGACTTTTCGAGTTTTAAATTCGGAAATGTTTAGAACAAAATAATGATGGTCTGAGAACAGTTGCTTTATTTTAATAAATTATTGAACTGTTATGACTCAAAAGATATTATTATTAGAAATAAAACATTGAAAGAACTCTGCAGTGATCTATTGAACAGAGAATAAACAAATGAACTCATTAGTTGATATTTATTATTTGTAATTTGACTTAGGAATATGATTGACTCATATACATTAAATGAAAAATATTCTTTTTTATATGCCAGTTATTCTACTATAAGCATTGTCATAAAAGTAAATTATACGCTGAAGTGATAGAGTTAAGGAATAGCTAGTAATTGAGAAATATACAGGTTGTTATCAGCTAGAATCATTAAATCATTACCAGCTCCCCAACATATAGTGCTGTGAGGAGCTGATATACCCAGCCTCAGGATGATGTAATTAATCTATACACAATGGCCATGTGTCATGATTTAAGTGATTTTGAGTATGGAAGGATTATCAGCTGGATGAAGCATTCAACTTCTGAGGTCATTGGATTTGCACATTTCACGCTATCAAGAAAGTACAGTACTGGGTTTTCATTTTTCAGTATTTCCACTCACAGTAGTTAACGACCTGGGTGGCTGCATACAATTGATGCATAAGGTGCTCATTGCTTGCAACATATTACAAGTAATTGGAGAACAAACCTGCATCAAATCACAGCTTGGAAAAGTTGAAACCTCAACTTGTTGAGCTGATTTAAATGCAGGTAAATGCCATGTGCCCACAGGGCTACACAGTATCAGCTTTCTGTTATTGGATTCCAGAGCTTATGACCTGTACGGATCCCCCTATTGATATGTCAACACTGGCTTCAGTCTCATCTGGGCATGTGAGCATCGACATTGGAACAGTCATGGGTTATCTGATCTGATGAGTTGAGGTTTTAGTTCTTCTAAGCTGATAACCATATCTTTGGCATTAAGTCATTGACCCAACATGTCAGTAAGGAAATATACAGACAAGATGCAGTTCAATTATGCTGTGGAGTGTGTTTAGTTGGAATGATTTTTACACCCTCTGGTGCCTCTTGAACATTTGCTGACTAGTTAGGTATGTTAACTTTTCCACAATGATGACCTTCATCCCTTCATGACAATTATGCACTCAGCAATTGGCTATTTAAGCAAGACTGTGTCAATTGCTAGGGAATGGCTCCAGGAATGCAGATCCAACTTCTGCACTATGACTTGGCTTCTTGATCACCAGACATAAACCCTACTGAATATGTTTGGGATATGTTAGAAACAATCTATGCATCTTGTATCTTCTATCCATAGAGATGTTTTAACAGTGTATCTGTGGATATGGGAAATAAATTCAGGTCTCTCTCACATATATCCAATAACTACCCATAACTAAATTTTAAGTGAAGTAATTGCATTTACTAAGTTATTAATTTAGTTCATTAATTTTCTATTTACATTTGCAAATTATACATTTACAGTCCAATGACAAGCTAATCAAGTCAGAATCATATCAGATGTGTTTTTGAGTTTTTCTATTGGCAAATTCTTTTATTGTTTACCAAAAGAAACTTTTTTTGTAATTGCATCGACTGCAAAGAGGAGATGTAAATATCGAAGGTTTGGCAAACACTTTGTGATGTGTCGTTATAATTACAGTTCCACTTGAACTCTCTGCTCATGGCTGGTATGTGTCCATTTAAATTTGAATCTCAAAAGATGCTCTTTTGAAACATTTCATTTGTAGAACTATTTTAACCTGAAGCAGGATTCAGGAGGAATCCAAAAACATTCATGAACATTTCTGCAATTTCATCAGTTGATTGAAGTAAGGTTTTTTTTTTTTTGTGGTATGTTTATGAAACTTTTTTAGTAATTTCCTCCTTGGTAGACAATATTGTAAGTGAGCATGCCTGTCCCATTATGCTCTGCAAATAATTTTTCACTCTCTTTAAAGCTAAACATGACTTTCCTCTGCTACCATTATTTGAGGGAGCATAAGGCAAGACAAACACATTTCATAATGTGGATTCTAATTTGTGATCTTTGATGATCTTCAAAGTGATATTGTTTGCTTCATTCTATAGGTACACCACTGAATTTCCAGCAACTGATAGTCTGATACCTTTTTTAATCCAGATAAAATTATGAGAGGGGACTTGAAATTTCCCTGGCCAGTAGAGTAGTTTACTGGGTGGCCACAGATAATGTTGTGTTTAGGGTGTGCGTATTTATGTTATTTACACTGCACTTGTTGTTGATGATACTGCAGTTTTTGTAGTTTATTTTGCTTAAATTTAACCCTAGATTTGACTTCTAAGAGAGATGAGTGTGTCAGTGGTGGTGTCAAACATAATTTGCATGTAATATTTATTTAAGTTTCTAGCAGTCCATTATATTCTTTAGACACGTGGGAAGCGTATAATTAGTGGATTAGAGGTCTCTGTTATATTATTATTATAAATGACCACGGTTAGTCCAGCAAAAAAGAAATACTCTGATGAAGAATTGTTTTAGCTCTACTGATTATTAAATTAAGCAAATGTTTGGTGCATGGTATGAAAACTATTTCATCTATGTGGTTATTTAATTCTTACTTGGACAATGCACTGAACATGTCAGATGTTTATAACCAGTATAAACATCTGACATGTTCAATGCATTGTCGGTTTATTCCCTGACAAAACTTTATATCATTTCTCATAGCATGCAAGCCATTCAAAAGAGTCTTTTCCAGGTAGACAATGGTGTGGGCTTTAATTGGAAAAATTCCTAAAACTCACTCAACTGGCATTCTTGTTGGTGTCATAATATGAAAAATAAGCATAAGTTAATTTATGTTGAGACAAATTGGATGTTAAGTCTACCATAATGGAAAAATAATGAACTTGTCTGACGACTTGAAGAATGGAATCTGTTTCTCCCATTAGCAGTATGAAATCACAAATTGTTGCTGAGAAATAAATTGAGACACTCCCAGCATTACCATACAGTGGATGATCGGTTAACGAACATAATCCGTTCCAAGATTTTGTTTGCTATCCGAATTGTTCATTAACCGATTATCGATTTACCGTAGGTTTTAATGGGAATTTAATTAATTCGTTCCGGAGACCTTAAAAAATAAAAAATATATACCTTCTTACTATGTTTATTTATATGTAATAATAAAACTACATACATACACAGTGTTGCGTTTTAGTCATGTTTTTTCCGTTTGAAAGGGTTAAAGAATCTGTCTAATGTCGATTGCTTTTCTCTCTTCTTCACGATTTTTCGTAAGTAATTATATCCCCAAGCCTCAACATGGTTTGGATGCCATTCTAAGACCGTGTTCTGACATCCTCCCACTTCTACAAAGGATCTTTAATAACAGATATCGGCATTAATCCTCTTTTTCAGAAGAAAACTTATCTCGCCGAGTTTCTTGGTGTTCTTCATTCAAGAGTTCTTGGTGTTCTTCTGTCGTCAGATCCGTTTCAAGTTCCATTACGAACTCTTCGATGTTCTTTATTTCTCAGATGTGATTTTTGTTACTGCTTTAGCTGCTGGAGTCTTTTTGATTATACAGCATTTTCTTAAATAAGATTGAACTGAGGCCTACTGTAGACCTGTTTATTCCATATTGCCCAGCAACATTAGGTATCTTCTGTCCACTCTCTACCTTTGCTATTATACTCTCATCTTTCGAAAAGAAAAACAGACACAAAACTTAACGAGTGCCTACCCGATGGTCTCGCGAATACACAAAAGAATTGTTTTGTCAGAAAAATAAAAGGCTGGAATTACAAGGGAGAATTTCAAAGTTCGGAGGAATACTATCCGATCAGTATATACCGGCTTGAGCGTCGATGTCCACGTCTCCCACACTCCGAAAAGTTTCGAATTGTTGCCCGAAGACAAGGGAAGAACAATCAGTATTCATTATTTTAC